TTTTTCTTTTTTTGACTTATAGATCAACATATAAGTGCACAGGTGTGGTCAGAGATCTGTAAACATAACTGTACAAAACATACAAATAGAATTATTTCACAGTTACTATGATATTATGATTTGTGCATTATTGACACAGCTCTCACCAATACAGCGTTCTTGTGACAGTCCTACTTTGGACCCGAAGATCCCAGATGGTTTTGTGTAACAAATTATCTGAACAAAGAAAAGGACAAAGAAAAAGCACAAATATTGAACAGTGAACAGGATATTACTGATAAGTTTCTCATGGGCCCCTATGAGAAACTAGATCTTGGTTACCGTTAGACTTTTTTTATCAAGTGCACTATGTTACGTTGCAACAATTGTTGTGTATTTCTCATGAAAGGTTGTATAGACATTCAAGTTCATTTAATGAACAACTATAATGACTTTTCTAAACTTTATAGAATTCTTAGTTTCTGAATTGGCAGACTCTGCATAAAAAGTTTGCAAAATCAAATATGCAGAACTATCTGCTATGATGACCCCTTATGACTAACTGAACAACTGAATATATGTGTTTTACATTATAGAATTTTTAGTTCCTGAATAAATTTTATGGTATGAAATAGTAACAATTATATGCTAACTGATGAAGGTATGTTTGTGGTTTCTAAAACATCAGAAAAGGACCCTGACTTCTGTAATTGTTCAGATTAACTCCTCTGAGTGTGACTTTACAGATGGAAATGAGTGGCTAACAGACAACATTATGTTATCTTGTTTTTAATATTTTTTACTGACCTCATGCGTTCATCAAATCTGTTGGATGAAATGGGTTTTCTCACCTCATATGGTGGTTGTTAGTAGTTTTTATTTATCACAAAACAGGCAGGCACAATGTTCACAGAGATCACGTTTCTCTTTGTGACTAAGCACCAAAACACGGGCCGAGTGATTGTTTGACCCATCCTGTATAATTTATGGTAGAGATGGATTAATAGAAGCCCTCCTGGAAAGCCACTGAGCAGCAGATCAGCTAAAAGACTCCTGTGCCAACAAATCTCCAGCACTCAGCTGGTTCCAAATAGGGCGTGTTGGCACCCACACAAACAGACACTCAGTCACACACCCACCCCCACTCAAACACCAACAACACAGTGAGCCAGCACAGGCATAATCGTGGTTGTCCTGCTAAGGGCCTGGCAGATGGAAATGCTGTGCCTGTTAAAGGATCAGGCTGTGGGCTACAGATCAGAACTAACATATGAGACTAGCAGTTTTAAGTTGCGACACTGGCTCTGAGTGTGTCTGTGTGTTTGCGTGTGTGTGCGCATGTTGGTGATATTCTTTAAAGTCCATCCTTGTATGAAGCCAAGTTATGAACAAAGTGGAAATTCATTCATAAGTGTGTGTGTATACGTGCATCATTAGGAGAAAGTCAAAGGTTATTCCAAAGCAGCTGTTATAGTGTAGATGCTGGGGTGGGGTGGGGTCTCCTTTGTCTGTATTTGATGGTCTGTGTAATATTAGTAGGTTGATTTTAGGGTTTTCATATTACAGAGATTTCAAAGAGAAGGGTTAATTTGCTGGCAAGGTACTGTTCTGTTTCTTCAGCTCTGTCAGCCACTGTCTGTACTCTTTGCAATATAAAGCGCACCTATCAAATGAAATTAATATACTATTATTATGATTGCATTATGCTGCATTATACTATGAATGTGTTACTAAACGTAAAGTTACATATAAACAATAAATAGTATTTTCCAGCAAGCAATAGCTCATACTGCTGAAGCTTACAGATCCAATAGAAATGGTTGAAAGAGTCCTTACAGTGCATGTGAAGTGAACAAATAATACATGAATAATTTTTCAGCTGAAATAAAAATACATGTTTTACTAAGAATAATGATGTGTAAAGTAATTCTGCCAAACTACAGGTCGGTTCATGTGTCAGCTTCTCTTTTCTAGAGAAAATAAATAATTTAATTCAGTTTCATTTTTATAATGTCAAATCACATGAACAGTCGCCTTGAGGCGTTTCATGTTGTAAGGTATATAGGTATATAATAATAACTACAATAATGAAGAAGTAGTTTTACTGCAGGTTTTACAATCCCTCATAAACACAAAATAAACTCCATTATTCTGATTCTTTGTGACAGATTTCCAGTTCATTGGGAAACTATGTCAATTAGCTGTTTTGTTTTGCATGAATAAAAAACATAATTAGCCCTGCGTATTGTGGCTCATCAGCAAATAAAGGTGCTCACGTGGGACTGCTGGCAAGTTTCTTTCATTACTCCATTAACCTTTAGTAAATTCTTTGTCTCTATGTAGTTATTTAAAGAGAAAATTCTCTTCAGCATTCAATTCAGTTGCCTTCAGCTTTTTGTCACTTCAGACAAAGTCGACATATTTAAATGAGGTCTTCTACATTAAATGACCCCAGACTTTTTACATTTACATCACATCTTGTTTTGAGTAATATTGTCACATTTTTAAGGACTCATAATAATAAATAACAAATCCTACTACCTACTCCACACCACTACTACTACTATCTAGCAGAAAGCAGTAAATACTGTATTTGCAGATAAAACAGTGTGATTATAGATCTGGTTATGGTCAGAGGGAGGAAATGATTGCAAATCACAGTGTGACTACATCCATGCTTGCAACGAGGATCCATCTGGCACAGCAAGGATCACTCAATAAATTTTCATAATCCTTCACTGAGTGCAAAATAAGTATGTGACATGGCTCTGAGGTCTGCAGTGACATTAAGAATTCAGAGTAGAGGTGGTGGTGTTAATCCATGCATTAGAGTCTACGGCCAGAAATGTCCCAATGTGACCCCAAACCAGCGCATGCCAACTAATTCCTACATAATCAATATTTGTTCTGTAGACATATGATATATGATTCATGCTTTGTGGTTTTAAGTGCCAGTTAAAAAACTGTAACTGCAGCCTTGGTCAATCCTTAAGTCTTTAATGTGTCTGATGCACATGTTAAATCATCATTACATAAATGCCTATTTCTACATTTCGGCATGACAACTCACAATTCAGTGGACAGGAATGGAATTTTCAGATGTGAAATGTCCTTGATGAGGGTCTCGTGACATTAAAAAGTCAGCTGGGAACAGATTTGAGTTGACACATAATTAGTTTGTATTAATTTCAGCATTTTACTGGTAGCTTCCTTGAAAATGCATTGCGGCTGCTGCCACACCAATTAATTTTCACGAGGAGCAGAACAAGGTGAACTGTTTTTGGTCACAAATTGAACCTGCCTAATTCATTAAGTCGCATGAATGTTTCTCCCACTGTCTGGTGTGAGAATTCAGAAGAGGACAGTTTGTCCAGCCACAGTGAGAAAGTATTTCTGATGAACTAACAACCCAAACCGTGCTTCCCAGACCGTTTTTCTTTGAACCTTAAAAAAAGGCTTACACATTAGAGGTATATTTAACAAAGACAAGACCAACTGTACACTCCTTAAGGAGAAAGAAACTTTTCTATATCCAACAACAAAAAGTTACTCAGTCTGTAGAAAACATGTCTAACTGCGTGTATCAGGACTGGGATGGAAGTGCTTCAAAACTTCCCTTAGAATTCTCCAGTTTTTATGTTTTCAATATCAAACTGCACGCAGTCATGAGCCAAATACAGCCATATGCACACAACAGAAGTAACTCTTAATAGCAAAATCGTCTAATTTAACTTTGCAAAAAGTAACAACGTGTCATCCCAAAAGGTTGATTCTTTCTATCTGGACCTAGCGTGGAAAGCGAAGAAATCATCACTTATCCAAGTGACTTCTTCAGTCTCAGCTGACTGCAGGTTTCCCCAACTTTATAAACACTACAATTGCATAATGACTGAAACCAACCCACTGAATGAACAAAGGGCTGTGAGGTCAGTTCCTTGATCATTAATATATAAATTGTCACGACCATTGATCAACAACCACTGATGAAAACCCACTGAAACGTTTCTCCCACTGAGAACGTCCAGAATGAACAGAATCAACCTTTTGGGATTTACCTACCTGGATAATTAAGCAAGAATCAAGACAACAAATTGTCATATTTTTGCATTTACCAGAACCAGGGAGCAGACTCAGACCACAGTTAAGAGGTTCAAAAGATTTATTCACAGAACAAAAAAGATTAACGATACGCAAGTGTAATGGGGAACTGGGAATGGTGCTGTCAGACAAACTCTGGAGGTTTATGAAAGTAGGGAAATAGATAGCGAAACTGCAACTGCAGTTGATCTGTGGATTTAAAATTTTCAAACTGTGGAAAACCAAGAATTATGGGAGGGTGAGAGAAAAACAAAAAATGAGTTCTAGGGCGAGCAAAGAGATTCCCAAATGTTGACTGAATTGCTCATCCATCGAGCAGGTCCATGGTTGCCAGTGCAGTCTTGACATCCCTTCCCAGGCGCTTAAATCCTAATTCCTACCTTGCCTCATGTGACCTCAAAAGGTCACATGATGGGGTAGGGCAAGGTCCTACAGTCGCTTCACCCTTTAGCCCTGGTGATGGTAATGACCCACCACTGGCTCATCTTACATGTTCAGTGGGTCAGTGAACCTCAGGAGTAACTCCAAAGAGAACAACCCACACTAGGGGTTAAATACCCGGGACTCCCTATGATTTGTTTGAAGGACTGAAGAAGCCTCTCGGGTGAAAGATGAAACAGCTACACTAACCTAAAAGGTCCAGTTGGCTTTTTTAAGATTCTCTGAACTGAACCCGTCAGCAGCTGGCTGCATCATCAGTGTTTTGAAAGTGACCAGTCACATTTGGACCTTCTAAAGGTTAGACTGATTTCTGTGACCAGAATGATCAGAATTTAGCTTTGAGAGCAGAGTTGCCTTTTCATTCTAGAAAAACAGATGTCCTGTCAAGCAAAATATCATACATGATAAGTGTTTATTAGAGCTGCCAATGAAAATATTTAGCCTTGTGTTTGTTTAACTGATTCTGTGTGTTTCCCCACCAGGCCCTCCGTTTATTATATCACCACCGGAGAACATTACAGTGAACATCTCACAGGACGCCTTCTTCACCTGCCAGGCAGAGGCCTACCCTCGCAACCTAACCTACACATGGTTCTGGGAAGAGGACAACGTCTTCTTCAAGAAGTAAAGTTATGATCGGGTTCATTACTGTTTGCTCTATCACTCACCTACTTGTACAGTCTGTGCTGTGTTGTTGTTGTGGTGATATTCAGCACAACAACTTCTTAAATTGACTTGCAACAGACTCATTGTCACCTCTCAGTCGTAAAAGGCCAACGTTGTGTCACCTTGCCGGGCAGGCGGGCAGCATGGGTAGCCGAGTTTGTGAATACAATAAATCGTAGGCCATGTAGAATTTTGAAATTCATAACATAGGTGCATATAATCTCAGATGAGTTTAAAACTTAGTGACCTTGAGCTAACAGTCAAGGTCAGAGGTCAAGTTTTCTGAAAAACTTGTGAATCCAGAACTTTCACATTCATGCCATAGGTGCATCTACCAGCCATCAAGAGTTGTGTATGGAGGTGTCTAAGTTAGATGAAAAGGTAGAAGTAATAGATGGTCAAAAGCTAGCATGAAAGTTAGAGAGGAAATACCTCCTTTTTTTAACTGAGCAGCTAAACACGTCCGCATCTTTGAGCAGAATTTAACGTGACTTTTTGACTACGCTCTTCTCAAAGATAACCCTTTAAGATTAGGAGACTTAAGGTTTTAGGCATTAGACATGAAAATATTTGATACCTTTGCATTGCAGAACTAAAACCCCTTACTCTATGCTCAGTAGATAAATAATGAATAACTACCAAAACAACAGGCTAGTGTTTTCTCATGTCACGCTTGTACATGACAGCTTTCATAACATAGCAGCAGAATTCTTCAATAATTGATGAAACTGATTATTTATTAAGAGATTTACTCAGAGGCAAGTGTGCCTTGTGCCTGTAATTAAACAAGGCTTCAATGACGAAGTAAGTTTTACAATCCAGCAGCATTTTAGCTTGTGAGAAGGCTGAGCGCTTGTCTTTCACATCGTTAAACGTTTGAACTCGCTGCTGTTTTCTAACAGTATTGTCACTTCCTGTTGTGCATTAGATTATAGATAGATAGATAATACTGCTCCAGCACTTATTTTTGTAACTGCCTTCTCACACCATAAAAATTCGTTGTTGAGAAATTCAGAAAAGTTTGTATTTTATGTCCAACAGCTTTAGTTTTAAGACACCCATGACTCATGCAAATATTTTTATTTATTTCTATAACTACGTGTACAGATCATTAACCTCCTAGGACCTGGCGTCCACATATGTGGACATCACATTTTGGGTTATTTAGACCAAAATACTAAATTTTGCTCTACAAGGGCCTGATATCCACTTACGAGGACATTATACTGCTACTGTTCTATCAAAAATTTTAACGAATATCCTCATATGTGGCTCTGATTTTTCATAAAAACAAAAATAAGGTAAAAAAAAATCTGCTAATTCTTTGTTTTTACATTCATCGGGCCCCAATATGCCCAAATATCAAAGAGAAATTAAAATTGCATGCCGTGGAAGAGTTCGGGTCTTAGGAGGTTAAAGGAAAAAAGTATATGAGAAAACTTACATGAGTATACAGACAGACGTATCTGTGGCCAAAGGTTCATTTTAGTTGCTTGAAGTTAAGTCAGGTTTATAATTCACATTCCCACTTGCATCACATTACATCAAAACTGCTTTAGTGCACTGTTTTTGAAGAAGACAGAGTTTACAGGGGTAAAGGCAGTACTATTACCATTAAAAGCCTGATCACATTTTTCAGTTTTTCTGACGTAGTGTGGAGCCTTCCTTATTTTTCAGAGGAATTATAGGTTAAGACTAAAACAAGTCTCCTCATTTGCTGTTGAAAAGTTATTTAACACTTTGAAGATAGTACCCTAACCTTATTCAGTCAGAATATGGGTTTTTAGCTTTTCTCTGCAAGTCTTTGCAATCAGAATAAGAGAAAATAGACATTTGAACTAATATGAATGCAAAAACTCTTATTTACATAGAAATCCTTGTTAGAAATAGAAATAAAAAAATTGACAAGTGCAGCTGATGGTGTGTTCTCTAATGGTGTTTGTCACAAACAGCATTGCAGGTTAAAAAAAAAAAAGAAAAAAAAAGAGTATTGCAAATCTGTACAAACCATAAGACTTCTGCAACAATTTCCTTTTGACAGGCAGGACCAAAGTAATGATGTTCAGCCATAATACACAATGCCAAGAAGAAAACTACACACAGCACATCGGTACTATCTGTAAGCATGGTGGTGGAGATTGTTGATTTGGGCCTGTTTTGTTTAGCCACAGTTTTGCGTGATGATATCTTACAGTCACTGAGTTGACTAGAATAAACTCTGTGTACCAAAGTATTCTGGAATCAAATGATAAGACATGCAAAAAATGTTTGTTTCCATTTTTAATTTGGACACAAGAGCTTTTACAAATGCAATATCAAGTTTTACTTTAAAAGCTTTATGCGTACTAGATAGCCCAGAAGTTGGATAACCAAAAGCAGAATGACATTTAAATCTACCTTGTTGGTTTCTTTCCTGTCCCATCCTGTCATGTACTCTGTGTGGAAGGCAGGATTGGACCCAAACACAGTCCCACAGACAAAGATTTAAACACAAAAAACCTCAGCATTATTGCTGGAACAAGTTAATACAGAACTGAACTGTAAAACCTAGGAACGAACTATGAACAGAACACAGTGTGAGGGAGATTACGACGACGAGCATAGGAAGACGCAGACACCAAATACAAGAGGAAACACGGCTAGCACTAATTACACTGACGAAACGGGGAAGAGCAAAACAGAACACACACCGATGAGAGACTATGGCTGTGTCCCAATTCAGGGTCTGCACGCTTGAAGTACGCGCACTACGCGCACTACGTACGGTGTGTACTATAAGTACGAGAAGTGCGGAAGTGAGAGGCTTGTGAAATGGGACGGTCTAGCCTTCGTCGCGCTGTTCAGGTTGCCTAGCAACCATGATACTAACCGCGAGTAACGTTACATACAGCTTTGTTTGACAGAAATGAAGGAGAAACAAATGTTTTGTTAGTCATGCATTTTCGTCATGACATCACTTTGATTAGTTGAGTATCTGAGGCTGAGACCACGGGACCGTAAAACATGATTGTTGGGCTTCATTTCTGTGCTGAACAGTCATTTCAAGATTAGTCAGTAAATAACAATTAGTTGTTCATGAGACTAAAATCATCCCACTGTGGTAATGCAAATATAATATGGCCAATATTATAGTATTGTCAGATTATTATGATATATATATATAGGCTTTAAAACCAAGTTAACGCTGAAAGTACAAACATCACTAATGTCACACAACTTTGCCGACATGTGGCCAATAGTAATGTTTTAATGTTCTTCATTATTAAACATTCGCACATAAATAAGTGACATCATATTCAGTACTTTGACAGTTCACTCTTCGGCCGCTCCCTTCTGCCGTATTTTGTGGCAAAATTATCCACACCCACCGCCGCGCTATGAATTGTGGGATATATGGGACCATGAAGCGTGCACCGCACCACGCTTGATATTTGGGGAAATCGACGGCGCATTTGGAGTACGCATTTGGAGTACACTTTGGATTGGGACAGCCGTCGTCGCGTGGCGGTGACGTAATCGCACTCAAAATGCGTACTTCAAGCGTGCAGACCCTGAATTGGGACACAGCCTATCAAAGCAAAACAGGAAGAACGCAGACTGAGTAGGACAGGGGTGTCCAACTCCAGGCATCAAGGTCAGTGTCCTGCAGGTTTTAGAAATCCTCCTGGGTCAGCACACCTGAATCAAATGATTAGTTCATTACCAGGCCTCTGGAAAACTTCAAGACATGTTGAGGAGGTCATTTAGCCATTTAAATCAAGGAGCAAGGACACGTCTAAAACCTGCAGGACACCGGCCCTTGAGGCCTGGAGTTGGACACCCCTGGACTGTGGGAACAGACAGATGCATATGAAGACTGACTGGGGAGGAATCACAAAGGCAAACCAAGACTAGAAATACAGAATAAACACAGGATATAATCATACTGGGCAAAGAAATATAAAATACACAGAGAACCTAATAAATAAAAAAGACTCAAAGAACCAAAAGACAAGAAACTCAAAATGCTGGGTGAGAATAACCCAGGACTGTGATACATCCTGTATTTTCCCACTCTCTCTTTCTCCTCGCTCCTCTTTTTTCCACCTTTAATGTCTAATAGAAGCGAAACAACTGAAAATTGAGAAAAATAAAAAAACAACCTCCAAACACCTTTTGGATGACAAAAAGGATTATGGTTGGATGAAGGGGCAGCTGAGAAATCTGCAGCACTGTGTCTGACGCTAAGCTAAGCATGAACCCGGACCTCTGTGATCCCCTTCTTCCCTTCTGGCACAGAGTTACAAACTGAATGGTTTATAGAGTTTTTGTCTGAAATATACGATGTGGTACTGGCATCAATAAATCCCTCAACCTCACACTTACGGTAAATTATTTTGTGCTGTAGGGTAGTAAGTAACAAGCATGGGGAAGTACATGCTCCTGTGATTTCCAGCTACCTTTGAAGCCTGTAGACTTATAGTTCCTCTGCAACCAGCTGTGAATCATGACTCAAGCTACACAAGTCAAAGTTACATATCCGCTGGGAAATAAGCAAAAAAGAGCAAGTTAAATATAGAGGTTAAATACAGGGGTCTTATATCATCAATGAATGACCAACATATATGTGTATCTGTCAATAATGTCATTGACAAACGTTCCTCAACTGGCGTGTAAAGCTTCAGTGTGGAAGATTGCTACAGTGGACTAACTACTACCGCACACACGACTTCTGAGAGACAAGCTGGAGCTATCGGGAGTGGACCACCACATGTCCCACTGGATACTGGACTACCTCACAGAACGTCCACAGTATGTGAGGTCACATAGCTGTGTCTCTGATATGCTGGTCTGCAGTACGGGGGCCCCACAGGGAACTGTGCTGGCACCGTTCCTCTTCACCCTCTACACTGCAGACTTCTCCATCAACTCCCCACGCTGCCACCTACTGAAGTTCTCTGACGACTCTGCCATAGTCGGCCTCATCACAGGTGAGGAGGACTCAGAGTACAGACAGTGGACTCTGGACTTTGTAGACTGGTGTCAGCAGAACCACCTGCTGATCAACGCCGGGAAAACGAAGGAGTTGGTGGTGGACTTCCGGAGACGCAGACCCACCACACTGACACCGGTGAACATCCAGGGAGTGGATAGGTACCTGGGTGGTCACCTGAATAATAAACTGGACTGGAGCCACAACACCGATGAACTTTACAGGAAGGGTCAGAGCAGACTCTACCTGCTGAGGCGGCTGAGGTCATTTGGAGTCCAGGGAGCGCTTTTAAAGACCTTCTATGACTCTGTGGTGGCATCTCTCATTTTTTTACAGTGTTGTATGTTGGAGCAGCAGTTTATCAGCAGCTGAGAGGAAGACCTTGGATAAACTCATCAGGAAGGCCAGCTCTGTTCTGGGATGCACCCTGGACCCAGTGCAGGTGGTGGGAGACAGAAGGACTCTGGCCAAAATAACATCTCTGATGGACAGAGTCTCCCACCCCATGCATGTAAATGTTGCTGAACTGCAGAGCTGCTTCAGTGACAGACTGCTGCGTCCTCGATGCATGAAGGAGCGTTTCCGCAGGTCCTTCCTCCCTGCAGCTGTCAGACTGTACAATCAACACTGCTCCCAACAATCATAGATGTTTACATCTGCGCTGTAACTGCAATAATTTAATCAACCGATTCGCACTACAACCTGGGTTTGCCTCTTATCTGTAGTTAATTTAATTTAATAACTGTACAGTACTCTGTTTATAGTAACTATTGTCCTTAATGTAAATATGTTTGTATATGTGTCTTTCTGGCTGCTGTTACAACCAAATTTCCCCTTGTGGGACAATTAAAGGATTATTCTATTCTATTCTAACTGAGTCTTATGTTGGACCAGAACCTGGATTATAGTGAAATGCCAGCCCTCTTTTGTAGTCAGATGACCTAATGTCAGATAAAGCACGGCTGATTGATCATTTCCCTTTTCTTCATCTTTACAGTGACCTAAAGCGCAGAGTCAGTATTCTCATAGACGGCTCCCTAATAATTGCCCACGTCAAGCCAGAAGATGCTGGGAAATACACGTGTGCTCCAAGCAACAGCCTGGGCCGACCACCGACTGCCTCTGCCTACCTAACAGTGCAATGTGAGTGCCCTGTCTCTCTTTTTTTTTACTTTCTACATAGCAGTGGTGTGTGCTCTAGTCTGAGGTGCTGCTAAATGAACATTTCTGCAGCAGGATGAAATCTTGCTTATCCTTTCCTGGGGCAGCACCCATGAGAGACAGTTTCATCACAGCTTTTGATGGTTGTTGCAACTTTTTCTGCATTTTGCAGAAGCTTTCAATTGCATTTAATAAAAATTTTACACACTGAATGACTTTCATGTCTTAACTCTTTCAGTCAATATGATCCATATCCCAGGTTCAGTGTATTATTTTCCTTGATATCCGCTGTATCACCTTGCTGGCACCTATGGGCAATTTAGAATCACCAGTTAACCTAACTCCTCTAACTGCATGCTTTTGGGGTGTGGGAGGAAGCCTTTCTGTGTGTACAGTAGTCTGCATGCTCTCCCTGGCCAGCTACCATCCAGTCTAACTCAGGACCTTTTTGCTGTGGGGTAATAAGGCCAACCACCACACATACTGCCTGAGCTTATAATGAGATGCTGTTTTTATCACCAGCTTGCTGTCAGCTTTCCGAAGATACAGTAGAAGGATTACTTGTCCAATCAGGAATAAAATACCGAGTTTATGTCCATTTGATTGCATTAGAGCTCTGACTTCAGTTCAGGAGACGAGGCTTCAGGTAAAGAGGAAGAGAATGAGAAGGAGATGAGCGAGGTGAGATCAGTGATAGTGGAGTCAGATGAAGAAGAGAAGAACAAGAAAAGGAAGAAGTGATGATATAAATGTACAGTTTTGGCTGATTAACTTCTTGTTATTGATTATCATGACTTGAATATAACTAATAGTTATAGTGATTAACAGCATTTACTAGGTTGACCAACACTCAGAACAATGGGCAAGTCCAAGGAGCACTGTACCATCTGCTAAGCAAATCCGATCCGAAAAAGTAGGACGACCTCCAAATTCTTCAACTTCCCCTCAAAAGCTAGATAAATGAAAGTTGGACATATTTGGATGTTTTATATCATGGCATTGATGACATTCGGTATTAAATTGGTAAATATATACAACTGTGGTTCTGTGGGGGAAAGAGTCAAATAAAGCATAAAACCCTCCAAAAAGGCACAACACTAAGACAGTGCAGAGGTCCAGTGCACTGACTATAATAAGTGGAGGGACCAATGGCCTTTGTGGGGTCACCAACACAGGGGCCACACTCCTAACTACAGTATCTAGATGGACGGATAAATATTTAGAAAAAATTGTCACCTGTAGAGATGTAAGGAAGGAGTAAATTATTTATAGAGGCCAAACCTGTGTTTTAATGCTATTAAGTCGATCATTTTTTCTTGGAAGCATGGGGTTCAATAGAAGAACTGCAGTTTTTGGTTTGGCTTCATCAGCCCTGAATATTCTCCATGAAGAAAGATTCACTTTATCGTTGTTCAGCGTCACTGACCCCGAATTGTCAAACAATGGGTATGAGTCCATACCCATTCCAGGTTGGTCAGTTGATAAAAGTTGCTATCAAACCACCAGAAATTAATAAATGCTAAAAAGACTTAGGTCGAGTAAGACAGGTTGAGTAATAGAGCATTAGAGGCAGTGTGAGAAAACTTCAATAGATTAAACTTCCTGACAACTTCTTTTTTTTATTCAACACCTGTAACATTCACATGATTGATTGTAACTTATGTAGGTTTGAGAAAAATGTAGGATAGGTGATTACCTTTGATTTAATTTTTAATAGATTTTCCTCATTTGCTGCATTCACATGGAAAAGCTTTGGAAAAAATCTTCCAGTCTTGTAAAGTGCACATATTGGATGTGGGTAAGACAAAGCCGAATACTAACATGAGCCCTAGAACCTACAACTCATTGTAACTCCTCATCACTCTGCGTTGTTAAGAGGGGACACCAGTTTCTGTCCATCTGAGCTTGAGTCAAACCGGACACAGCTGTGAAACTGTGTGTCCAGAAATCAACTGAAATGCTCTGCACCGTGGAATCACTTTGGACACTCGACTAGTCTCCCGCCTAACTCTGTTCCACTTCTCATCCAAACATATAATCCCATGCAAACACCGGTTTTGCCTCTCAAATATACTTTTCTGTTTTATTTTGCTTCTGGTTGCTTTCTGCCCACATCCTCCCTTTTCTCCCCTTCTCTTCCCTCACTACTTCTTCTGATTTGTACCCATTTATGAATATTTATTCATATGCACACCAGCACGTCTCTGTCTCTCCCTTCCCCATCTTCATGATTATTACTGCCTCCTCATTTCTCTGTCCCATCATAAAATACTCTATCAGTCCATCAGTCACTCCCAGCTTGAGCCACTAAATAAAAGCATCTGGCTTTTATTTGCATGTCTCAGGACGAGCACTGAGAGCTCGGCCTTGTCTGCTGGTGACCGGCCATCAGCAGTAGTCAAGGCAACAGACAATTTGAATTCCCTCACTCTCCCGCTTTGTTAGATTGTGGTGTGTGTCTGTGTGTGTGTGTGTGTGTGAGAGAGAGAGAGAGAGAGAGAGAGAGAGAACAGAGGTAGGCAACAGCAGTCACAAGAGGGAGGGAGCAGTGAGAGGAGAGGGGATTACATCATTGCTGTAGGACCACTTTTCTGTTTGACTGCAGAGGGCTCTCTCTTTTCTTTCTTTCCTCTTATTCTCACCTCATCCTTTTTTATCTCTCTCTATCAATCCTCAACCACTCTCCCTATTTATGTCATTATTCTTTTTCATGTCTTATTTGGTTTAAATCTCTCTCCTCAGCTGTCTGTGTCTTTCTCCCCGAAGCGTTTGCCAGGGAATAACTTCCCCCAAAGCATCTTATAGTGGGAACCAGCGTGTCGTGAGCGATAGGCTGTCTCAGAGCTATATTTAGAAACTTGACTGTGGTGCCAGTGGCAGTGCTGCTCTGGGCTCTTTGTGGCAGAATGACGGTCGGCCAGAGGTTTGGACTTTAGAGGACAACTACTGTAGTACAAAGTTGTTTTGGTGACACGTCTCTTTTTCTCCCTCTCTCACCTGTGTTCTTTCCCACGCTCAGCCTCACTCGCCCTTCTCTCCATCGCTCTGCAGATAGCACTCCTCCCACTCACACCATCTCTCCTCCTTATCACCCAGTGCTTACTGTGAAGCTTTCCTCCCTGACCTCATTCAGACATTACACTATTCTCACCCCTTTACAATTCCAGATTGAATAAGTTTTGCTTCCCTTTCCCTCCATCAGTCATCCTTTCTGTCCCAAAGAAACCAAGGGGCTGAGCTTGTTCATCATAGCAAATCCCTATTATTTGAGAGTTAAAATTGAGAGGGGACATCTGGAAGGATGTCTGCTAAAGTAGAGACGATCAATTAACCTTGAACTAATCCGAGCTGCTCTGAATGATTGAATGAGGTAGTTTATGTGTCACATGATGTCACAGGAATTTTTGATTTTGCCTGTAACTAACTGTGACTACAAATACATTTGAAAATCACAACAACTTTCATCTGACTTAGTAATATTTAGGTAAGGTTTGAGACTATTTAAAGTTACTGGATACATTATAAGAAAAATGAACATATTAACATGTCATGCTGTTATGTTATTGCTTGAGCACAGAGGTTCAAGATTGTTTCAGGTATGTGGTGGCACCTGTATCACAATTAGCATGTAATTTGTTCAGTTCTCTGACGAGACGAGCAGTGACGATCATGTTGAATTGAGTCGTTAATGAAGGTGTAATGTTTTGAAACTGTGTGTGTGTGTTTGTGTAGCAAACATCTAGCGTAAAGTGACAAAAGCTTGTAAAACCTTGCTTTGGTTGCCAAACTGTTTTAGAATTTATCAAAGTTGCCTTATAATTCAATACTTTTTTATGTTTCCGTGACCACTGAAAGAATATTGAAGCTCCATTCCTCATTCAGCCCAATAGGGGCTTCAAACTAACTGTTTAAATCTAGGTTAGTATCAAAGTACCTGACCTCTGAGAAGTCAGGTACTTTTTTCACTCATTTTCAGCCCAGTCCTTGTATCTGATCATTGTCAGAGAAATGTCTATTTGCTTGTTAAGCCATTTAACACTGACCTATGAATAATTTAAGGATAAAGAACGCAACTAATTCAATAAATATATTAGTTTTTTGTCTACACATAACAACCTATCAAAGATCTAACTTTTAATCGAATTTTTAGGCACTTTTTTATGTAAACATGCATAATTTCTTCCTATATTTTTAGCTAAATCTACATGAAATGCCAAAGTTAAGGCAATCATAAAATAGTATTATTCCACCAAAAAGATGCTGTGTGGCATGTCCTTAAAAACCTTAAGAAAACTGCTCAAGTGAAGCACAAAGATAGTAACAGTCAATCTACAGCATAGGGACAGTGTCTGAAAGTGTCCTTAAGAATATTTAAAAATCCACCAAGGACCTGACACATGCCCCCAGAGCTACATCTGACCCTTTCGTTGATCCAGCTACTGATACCTCATCAGAAACGGTCTCAGGAGAAGGGTTGCTGTCAAGAAGCCATTCTTAAGAAAGGGAAAGGCTGAGGTATGTCAAATTACATAAGAACTGCACCGAAAATCAGTGGCAACAGGTTTTATGTTTATAAATTTTTGGTTCAAATTATCATCAGTTGGTACATTGAGCGTCACAGCTATAAAACACAGTGGAGGAGCTGTCCTTTGGTGCTACATCTCAACCATATGCTGTAGCTGTAGCTTCTAAATACTAACTAAGCAGAGGCAGATGCGATGGTAGTATGATTTTTCTCACCTTTGGAAGACGTGGACCTAACATAGCATATTTCCCCAAATTCCTAAAATGTACCTTTACACATCAGACAGTGTTATGAAGAGCAAAGTCATCAACTACTTGTGATGGATGAATGAGCAAACAGACAGAATAGTAAACTTGTAATTTCCATGTACAGTCTGACATTTTGTCCAGCCTAATCAATTTCCATGGAAGATGCGATTTTGTGTAATTTAATCACTAGAAACCAATGCATCCATCTGAATCTAAAGTCATGTTAAGTCAACAGTGATGCCGTCCCTACATGTAAGCTTTGACAGATTGGAAAAAAGACAAGTAAAAGCATGTTATTAGTATTAATATTGTGTAGTAGATGTGCCTCAGGGGAGCTGAAAACATCAAACGGCAGAAAATAGCAGATCGTACTGACATTCATTTTCCAAACAATACTTTTTAGGAAAAGAAAAGTTTTAGATTCTGAATATAATGAAGGTGCAGAGGTGTCTGACAATAACCAGGATTCACCAGACCAGATGTTCTTCATATACATAACTGGATTCATTTATTAATTTTATTTTGTCATTATTTCAATTATTTTGATGATGAGCCCACATTCTGTGAACAGTGCCCTCTCTGTTTCTCTGCACATCTACTAGAACAACTAACAGGCATTGCGCTGCCACAAAGTGATGGTTTAGCATGTGGGTTATTCTCTCTTTGTGTTTTTTTTTTTACCAGATCCTGCCCGTGTGGTAAACATGCCATCAGTCATCTACGCAGCCATTGGTCTGCCTGGCTTCATTCGCTGTCCTGTAGATGCCAACCCCCCTGTAACTCTGGTTAAGTGGAAAAAAGATGGCCTCCCTCTGCGGATAGATAAGGTGAGCCGGCGCTTTGCTGCTTTTGTCCCTTTCTTCCACTTTTCCTAACTTTAGTCTGGAAATGAATGCTTCATTCCTGCTGTTGTGATTACATTTTTCACATTGATTGTTTTACTTTAAGTGCACTTCTCTGTTTCTTACTCAAGAGAAGAGATTCAGGATTTTTTAAATCATATTTACTGACAACCATCACACTGGTAATCTGTCTACTCCTTCTTATCCGCTGAGCACAATTTCTCCATCCTTAGTACCCTGGTTGGAGTCAAATGGAAGATGGGAGCATCCGTGTGGCAGAGGTGACGGAGGACTCTCTTGGCACCTATACCTGCATGCCTTACAATGCCCTGGGTTCCATGGGATGGTCGCCTCCTGCTCCCCTGGTGCTAAAGGTACATATATTTAGGCCACATATGTGAATGCTCAGCACTTCCCTCTTCTGGCATTTAAAGGTTTACTGATAGGACTTACTGAAGTCTGAAAGGTGTGGATTTGTTTTCTCATTTGCAGACAGTTTACTGTATATTGCAACATTTTTTATTTATTTGAAATACAGGAACTATTTAGAACACTTCAGATTAAATGAATAATATACATAAACCTTTCCAAGCTTTCCACTTTTTTGACAACTGCAACATGATGTTAATTTGCCCAGTTCAATAAATCTCACCCTGAATACGAAGGGCACAAGCATCCATCTGTCTCCAGGATTAAATGCAACTTCACTCATGTGTACTCTTCAGTGAAGACAGCTCTTCTCAATTTCTTTCTGGGCAGGACCCTCCCAAATTCTCAGTGGTTCCTGGAGGGGTGTACAGGCAGGAGGCTGGAAGAGAACTGGTCATCCCCTGTGAAGCAGAGGGAGACCCTTTTCCCAACATCACATGGAGGAAGGTAAAACCCCTTGCACATCATACATCCTCCCTACATGTGCACAGCCTGTCCACTGAATCTCATGTGTAAGGCAGCTCATTAGTCGGTGCTTCTTGTTGTGTTATGTCACATTCACTGTTTTCCACTGAGGAACCTTCATTTCTAAAATCACTGTCTGTAGTGGATGCTCCGATTTTAATTTCACTGTACTGTATGTCATTGTAGCATTTTTAATCACATTTTAATGATGTCTATAAAAAATGCAATCAGGGAACATATTAGATTCTCTCAATTCTTTTCTTAATCATGGGGTGTGTTTAATCCTGCTTACTGACTACTGTATGATTAGCTATTGTTTCTGTCTCTCATTTACTGAACACACATTTTATCATTTTGTATTGTTGCAGATGTCAGATGGTAGGTTGGGCTTTTTAGTAGCTGTTAAACTACTGGTTGTTTTTGGGTTGTTTTTTTTTAAGTGTACATTTTGTATGACACATGCCAATGCACTGTTTTCTTTATCTTTTGCATTGGCTGGCTCTATCTTTCCATGCTCCGGGTGGATTGCAGGTAGGGAAGCCCAGTAAAAGCAAGCACAATGTTCTGCCCCGAGGCAGCTTACAGTTGAAGTCACTCACAAAGGAGGACCATGGGGAGTGGGAGTGTGTCGCCACCAATGTTGCCACGAGCATCACTGCCAGCACGCACGTCCAAGTCATAGGTACCTGAATACATAAATGCACAAACACATATAGATATGTAGACGCACACGTACAAATATCAAATTCTCTTTCTTTAGCAACTATAGTGTTAGCTGTAGACCAAGGCCTCTTTCCCCAGCAGCTTCTAATTTCTTACTGCCAAACTTTTAATTTTATGTTGCAGATTAAGATTAGTTGGCAATATTGTAGCAACTCTGAAGGAAAAGACTAAAAATGGTTATTTAGAGCCAGAACTGACTACATTTAAATTGATGGTAGTGGGGAGGGAGGGTTGATCTAACTGATTATTAGAATACTAAATGCTAAGTTACTAGCTAACTGTAGCTAACTAGCTTAGAAAGTAACATTTTGTTATGTGTTAGAGATTCTTGAACTGTTGGTTGAAATCTATAATTAATAACTAGAAAATGCATTTTCTGAAGAAACTGCTGTGTGAATGCTAACCTCAACTCATGTCATTGCTGTTTTTCAATTCGGAGCTTATAGTTGCAATTCTCACACGTCTTTACAAAAGACGCAGGGGAACTTTTTCTTTAAACGATGCAATACAGAGCAACAAAATCACACACTTCTGAACTGTTTTGCTCAGTAATTAGTTATAACTTGTCAAATTCCAAGAGCAGTCATTGGTCTTGTTTGCCTTGGCCTATTTGTCTTGGCCTTTGTTCTTGCTGACCACTGTGCCTCATTTATGGATGTAAGCCAGTCAAATCAGCAGAATACAATGGCTGTATCCCACTGGCTCCAAATTATTTTCCTGGTTTTTTTGGCTCAAGTATAACAAGTAAACAATACATTGAGCCATTTTACTGGTAGTATTTACTATGCAGGTAAAATTTTACATTACTGGACCCAACTCAGCTCACAATAAGTTTGTTTGACAGGTAAAATAAATGTAGGGTACCACAGCAGGGCAACTCGGTGACTAATGTGCCCTTTTAAAAATTGCTTCCCCTCTCTGCAGGCACAAGCCCCCACGCCCCCACCAATGTCCATGTGGCTCCGTTCTCCACTTTGGCCAATGTGTCTTGGGAAGCAGGATATAATGGAGGTTTCCAGCAGACATTCTCAGTCTGGTATGGCCATGTGTGAGTCATCCTAGCATGCTTTGCTTCCTGCTTTTTCTTCTTCCAATGTGTCCTCTGTTATTTCTGAAAATGTCTTTTCCAGGGTTGTGTTCAGAACAGTTGTGAAAACGTAGAGATGGAAAATACATGGAGTTCCAGTGTCTGTGAGTTTTCATCTCTGCTCTTGGAGTTTTCTTGAGGAACGCAATAAAAACAATAACAAAAAATACAGCAACTAAACTGAACTCAACCCAGACTTCTCTGTTCTGCTGCTGCTGCTGCTGCTGCTGCTTTGCCACTGCTTGACTAGGGAAAAGGCCTGGGTTAAAAATATGTGTTCAGTCTCACAAGATTTTAGCCATGGCAGGTACTGTTACATTTTGAATCACAATAATTTCTTTTCTTATATTCTTATATTTTCTTACATCTGAGATGTCCAAAATGTATAATGCAGTACAAAGTGAGTTGATGATGTGCTGCTAATCCTGGGTTGTTAAAGTCTACATGTTAAAGTCTATGGTGTTTAAACGTCTTTAGGGAACATGTGGTACTATTTTAACCCAGGTCTGCAAGGGAACCATTTGCATTTTGGATGATCGATGTGAACACTGTGTAGTTATTAGATGTCAAAGAAACTCCGGTAGACTGAAGTAGATTTTTTTTTAAATCCAGTACTATAGAGCAGCGGTCCCCAACCTTTTTTGCGCCACGGACCGGTTTATGCCCGACAATAGTTTCACGGACCAGCCTTTAAGGTGTCGCGGATAAATACAACAAAATAAAACTAGTACCGGTACCGAAAAAAAGAAGATTTATTCATAACACACGTGAAAAGACCCAGGAAAACCGAGTAAACGATAAAAACGATAACAAAATAACGCTGAAAACCGATAAAAACCCTGAAAACCATACATTTCACACCTGAGCCTCAACTCTCGCGGCCCGGTACCAAACGACTCACGGACTGGTACCAGTCCGAGGCCCGGGGGTTGGGGACCGCTGCTATAGAGTATTAATAGCTCAGCTGAACAAAATGTATTGAAAACATAATGACAAAAAATTGATACAGACGAAATAATTCACTCTGGTAGTTATTGTCAAACTAGAGATGCACGTAAGACACGAATGTCTTAAATTTCACCACTTAAATAGTGAAAGACATAAAGCGAGCATCAGATATAGTGCTGCTGCCAAAAACTAGCCTTGCTTATCAGAGTAGCAGTGGTGCCCTCTCCAGTTCTATGGTTCTAGTTTAAACGGTTCTATATCAAACTATTACCTGAAAATTATGATTTCATTTTAATGTCTGAATTGAAAGAATAGTTTGTTAAACAGGTTAATTAGTTTCATTAGAGAAATGCACCTATGAGACTGGTCATTCCCTAAAATGAAGGCTATAAGTCACCTATCAGCTCTTCACCCGTTTCACAAAAACTACTCAAGATATACAAAAATTCAGTGAGTGATTTAGGCAAAATTCAGGAAAGGTCTCATGGTCTTTTTACAGTAATGCACCATGTTTTTGATATTATTGTCTGGAGGATGGTATAGTATCTTTATCTGGCAGTTTAGCAAGACTGTATTATGTGTTCAGCTTTTGAGTCTCTTCTGCTGGCACACGTTAAATCACTGTAAAAGAAAAAAACTGTAACATTCAGCTGTGCTTTTTATAGACAAAGTCAATACCACATGAAGTCTCTAATTAGGTGAGATAGTGCAATTTAGAATAATCCCTCTTAAGCAATTTTCCAGTCATTACACACGAGTTTGGGAGCATATTCACTGAAAAATAAATAAGACAGTCAAGGAAAATGTAGTGCTTTATTCCATATTCCATACAACCAGCTCTAATTTGAAGGGATTCCTCATATTTGTGGATTTCTTTATAGCACAGTGTTTACAACATTAAACACGAGAGTACTACTTGTACTTGCCACAAATCACACAATATGCAAGTAAAGATTATTAGGGATCATTAGCTTAAACATCAGCAGTATTGCTGGTGTGAAGTTCATTTGATATTTACGATGCCGTGTTCACATCCACAGGATCAGGCTCGACTAAATTAAGCCCCACATGCTCTCCGCAACCCATCATACTTTAGTAACACAGTGATGAGACCAGAGAGCAGCACAGATATAAAAACAAGGAGGCAGCTGCTTCAATTAATATTAATTAATCTTCATACTGACAACAAGCATCAGATCCCTCTATACTTCTGCTGTCATTTAAAAGGGTCTTTAAACCTTTCCACTACAGCTGATACACTTACTGATTGTTTAAAGCACTTTAGGGTACTAGTATAGGTCCAAACATCAGCACAGAGATGATTCTGAAAACCCTAAGTGGACACTGTTTTGCTGCATTCATGCAAGTCTAAACCCTGCCAGACAAAGGTGGAAGTTGTTCAAATAAGATCTGGAAATGAAACATTTTTTTTGTGGGTTCACTTACAGTGCTGTGATATTTCCGCCCTTCCCCTTGACATACCTATGTGTTTAAGATCATCAAACTAATTTTAATATTAGGCAAAGAAAGCCTGAGTAAATACAAAATGCAGTTTTTCTGTAAAAGGCTGATGGGGCGGGTGACGTGGACACCCAAGTTTGTGAATGTCATAACTCGAAAACGAAGTGATGTAGGAGCTTCAGTTTAAGTGAATCTACAGAAAATCTCATAGGAAACCGTGACCATTGAGAAGGAAGTGACTTAGGACTAGAAATTGATACCAGAAATCTTGGATGAGTTCAAATCTCAGTGACTTTGACCTCAAGGTTAGGTTTCAGAGGTCAAGTTTTCTGAAAATCTTATGAATGCAATAACTTAAGAACAAAGTAGGATCTTTAAAATTGATACCATATGTGCACCTACTAGGAGGCTAGGAGGAGGAGTACCATTGGCTGCCACCAGTATTTTTTTAATAATGATTTCATTTATTAAGGGAAAAAAATGATTGTTCCATTGATGTCCTTCCTGGATCACCTCTCCCCACAAACCGTCTCTATGGACGAGCCAAACGAAGTAATGGAAAAATACATCTAATAATAATAATGGATTGCATTTATATAGCGCTTTTCGAGACCCTCAAAGCGCTTTACAATTCCACTATTCATTCACACACTGGTGGAGGCAAACCACAGTTGTAGCCACAGCTGCCTTGGGGCAGATTGACAGAAGCGAGGCTGCCATATCATGCCATCGGCCCCTCTGGCCATCACCAGTAGGTGAAGTGTCTTGCCCAAGGACACAATCACTGAGACTGTCTGAGCCGGGACTCAAGCCGGCAACCTTCCGATCACAAGACGAAGTGCCAACTCTTGAGCCACGATCGCCCCTGAATCTATCATTCATTGGCATCATCTGTGCCTAATTCTATCCCCCTGGATGTGGATTTGTCTTCTAAGCGGCCATATGACTGACTCCCGTCACGCTACGTGGCATGTATTCTTTGCTAGAGTTCCAAGTTTCCAAGTATGAGCCCATTCGTGCATCGTTGGACTCCTTGCCCTGGAGATTGAGTCTTTTTTGAGCCTTGGGTTTTGTAGCCGGTCTGTCTCCTTCGTCAGGTAACACCATAGTGCCACTGACCATAGTCAATCAGTGTTCCAAGGCTGCCTATTTTGTTTCATTAGTGACTGCTCAATTACTTACTGACCATGTGTGTTCTGTCACCACTGAATTCCTTAGGATATTGTCTCTGATCTTGGCTCACAGTTCGCCTCTAGAGTCTGGAGGGCTGGAATTGGTGCAATTGGTGTCTAGGTTAGTTTCTCTTCTGGTTTCCAATCTCAGACAGACTGAAAAGATTAACCAGGAACTGGAAGTGGACCCTCTGTGAGTAGTGCACTTGTAGCTTGCAACTTCCCTGGCTAGAGTATGCTCACAACTACATGACCTCCATGTTTACAGGTCTCTCTTCAAGGTGTCCCTCAGTCACCAGCTATCACTGGTCCCATCTCAGGAAGGTGAGCTCTGTTCCATCTGTTTAGCATCACCTTTGTCGCTGTCTTTAGTTAAAGAGAGCAACCCAAGCAGTCTTGCTTAGAACATAGAGACCAAGTGACTGGGTAGCCGTCATCTTTTGGCACCTGCGTACCTTCCAGGTCAAAAAGTCAGGTTGTCTTCAAAAGTATGAAATTATGATGAATCTAAAAAACTGTCTTTCAACTACACTACAAAAAGGAGATCATAATCAACCCTGTCACTGTCTCTTTGAAACTGCCTAAGACCCAAAACTCATTAGCTGAAACCTGTCTGTTTCAGTCCTCTGTGCCCTTTTTCCAATCCCCCCCCCCCTTCCCCTCCCCACCTACCTGGGTGATTGGGAGTTATTGATTGGGGTTATGTGCAAGACAAAAGACACAGGGTTCCATGGTCTGCCATTTTGGATCCCTCACTGGTCAAGGGGTTCCATCAAAAGTATTCCAAAAACCCAGTATGTCACTAAGAGGCTCCTATTAAGCAGGCGGTGTTACGGCCGAGTAGCCGGCGTGTTGTGGTGTGGAGCCATTATTGAGGCAGATGAAACACATGAAAACAAACGAGAAAATAAACAGAACGAGAACTAACAAAACCTAGAGTGGGAGTAACTAAAACATGAAACCTGAAAATGCTGAAAACAATGAACCACGGAGACGTCAGGAGGTAAACCGATGAATTCACAATGAACAAAGGGAGACAGAGAACATAAATACACAGAACGGTAACGAGGGAAGTGGAAACACAGCTGACACAAATGAACATAATGCCACAGGGGACGCAAAACTACACACGCTGAACATGGAACGCAAGACTGTCAAAATAAAACAGGAAACATAGTGAGATATAGACTGTGACAACAGGAGCCTGAGAGAGGGATCGAGAGGGGACACTTGACAGAGGGAGCGAGACATGACGGGCATGGGAGACATGGAACAAAACACGTGGAGGAAAACATGTAAACAGGAAGAGGAGACGAGACACTTCGACCAGACAACATGGAAACAATTATAACTAAACATAGCAGCAAATACAAAGATAAACTCAACACTAAATAATAGAAAACTAAAAAATTACAACACAAAGAAACCATAACCCCAAAAGCTGGGTCAAATGACCTAGAACCATGACAGATGGTATTGGCACGGTCTCCTGGTGCTCCTGTGTGCCATTTCTGTCCGTTTCTTCTCCTTTGTGGGTTTTTTTTTTTGCTCTCCCTGTCTCCTTTCAGTGTGTGCGTGGGTTTACTCTGTTTGTTTCAGAGGCGGGATTCCTCTGGGTTTTCTCACCCTCCTGGTTTTTCACACCTGGAAGTTGTTGCCAATCAACCCACCTGTGTGGAACGTTAACCCATCTGATACTTAAGGCTCAGATGGGTTGCTAGATTGTTGGAGTTACTGAAGTAGCATTGTCTGGCTTCTGTGTGTTCACTGTGTTTGACTGGAATGGCTTAGATTCTAAGTGCACAGAGGAAAGCTGGGTTTGTTCTAAGCCTTAGAACAAACCCAGCTTTCCTCTGTGCACTCTTTCAGTCTTGAGAAACCTTCAGAGAGAGAACCTGGAAGTGAGTCATCTGTAAAATTAGAGAGAGAGAATTAAGTGGACTATCTCCCTGCCAGACTGCCCATTCCACTCTGACAATAAAGCGCTATACAAATACAGACCATTTACAATACCCTGCTCCATGCTTGCTGTAAATCTGCTAAACTTTTGCTTCAGTGTCTCACATCTGAGTGTGAGCCTTGACATACTGCAAATGTTTAGTTGCAATTCAATTCAGTTCAGTTTTATTTAGATATCGCCAAATCACAACAACAGTTGCCTTGAGGCACTTTGTATTGTAAGGTAAAGGCCCTACAACAATACAGAGAAAACCCCAACCAACTGATGACTCACTATGACCAAGCGCTTTGTCGACAGTAAGAAGGAAAAACTCCCTTTTAACAGGAAGAAACCTCCAGCAGAACCATGCTCAGGAAGGGGCGGCCATATGCCGCGACCAGATTGAGTTCTTGCTATGAAGGAAGACACAAGCAGTTATTAGGCTTAGGGGGCAATTACTTTAAATTTAGGGCCTGGTAGGTTTGGATAGCATTTCTCCTCAATAATCATTTTAAATTCGCATTTTGTATTTACTCGAGTTATTCTTGTCTAATATTAAAATTTGCTCAATGATCTCAAATGTGTAAGGCCCCATAGGTCTCTCAGGTTTTTCCTCTTCTTTATACATTCCCTTATGTCATTTCCGTCAGCTTCAGCAAGCACCTCCAAACATTTGTCATTTGAGATGATGATTGTTGTTATCCCATTGATAAAAACTACAAAATCAAGAAGTGGGCAAATACTTCTTGACAGCACTGTAAGGTGGACTGACAGAAACTGCAAAACAGTTTTGTGGTCTGCATGACCGCAGGGGAGTTATGGAAATTATGCAGACCTCATCCTGCAAGGCTAAAATAGAGACCATGATGTCACTGTCATACAGTTTATAATTTGCAATTGCAGTGCTATGTATTAGTTACCATGGGTGAATTTTCCTCTGTGGATAAACCATTAACACTGAATGATATGTACAGGTTTTGGAGCAGCATTTATTTTCACCCAAAAAAGGAGACCTTAAATTACAGTACTGAGCAGCTGAGATCCTACAACAAGCAAGAATGAGACTTTAAAATCATAACAATTATGCTCCTATGTTCTTAAATGTTTACCATTGGTAAAAGAAGAAATGATGCTACACAGTGCTAAACGTGGGCCTAGTTTAACTGTTTTAAATGTGTTGCTGTCATCAGGTACAAAATAAGCATATATTTTTCAACATGTAGACACATTTCAAGATTTTAATATGTTGCTTCTGTTGTATTTTAACCACATAGCATTTATTTAAAAATATATTCACTTAAATATAAATTATTTATAAATTTGTATACTATGATGTTATTTTCATTTCTCACAGTGTTTCAGCTTTTTTTTGGAAACGAGGTCGTAGTTAATGTGTTAAAGAAAGTTACTTCATTTCTTGGTACCTGAGAGCTGATTGTAAAGTTTTATTATGGCAGTGCTTTAGACTGAAGGTTGTTGCTGTTTTTGTTTGCGCACAGTTGTCTGCTTGATTTGATTGATGAGGCACAGCTGAATGTGTGGCATGGGCAAACAGCAAACTGCAAAGCTGAGCTCGGCATGGGCTTAATACCATCAAGTCAAAACTGTGTTGTGAACAATGAAATAAAATATGTGGTACATTCAATTCAATTCAGATCCATACAATTAACCTATGCAATGTTGAATTTAGGTTTGAGATCAAATAGATTACATTATGATAAATCATTATAATGCGCTACACTGTGTGATGAAACTTGTGCTGAGAAAAGACTTGAATATAGTTGTAACTGTTGTAAATAAATGTCCATTTTGTCCGAAAGATTTAAAAAAAGTCTCCCTCTCACCTCCTGATTTATTTCTTCAATATTTTTCCTGTCTGTGTACCTGCATCTCATCATGACTCCTGTGCAGGCTGAAGAGGGAGCGTTTAGGTCCGTATGACTGGCTTTCCATACCTGTGCCTGGAGGCCACGACTGGATGGTGGTGCCCGGCTTAGAGCCAGAGACAACATACCAGTTTAGCATCCTGGCCCAAAACAAGCTTGGCACAGGCCCCTTCAGCGAGGTTGTCACTGTGAACACACTAGGTGAGTACACCCACTACTGCTTAACCAGGAGGAAAGGATCCAATAATAAAACAGCTTTGGCAGGCAAGTAGAGAGAGCTGCAAAAAACACTGAACTAAGAAAAATCATCCGGACATGTTTTTCATGTCATGTAAGTGTTAGAAAAGTAGTAGGCTATTTTAAATTATATTGATCTTAATTTGCATTCTAATATTTATCATTAAAAGGCACAAAAAGGCACTTCTTATGTTCTTCCAATTAAACATCACACTACAGTAGTAGAGAAGTAATTTCAGGAGGATCTGTGCTGTAAATAAAGTCTAACAAGTTAACAACTCACACATCGGCTCCGGGGAGGCCAAACAACACTCTCTGTGTGAGTGCTGGTCGTGTGATCTTTCACAGACTAAAGGAATAGGGATATCTTTGCATTTTCATGTCACCTTTATTCATGAAATGTTGGTTTAAATGTTTAAATGGTTTTTTTCATTTAAGAATTAGTTTAATTTTCCCAGAATACTTTTGTCTCAGTGAATAATAAAGTGAATTGCTGGCAAGTTAGTTAAAATGAATATGAAGTGAGGTACATAGTTATTATTACCTCTTATCTTCCGAAGCTGAGTTGAAACTGAATTTAAAAAAAATGCTACTGTGTCTTCTATACACAGAAAACAGCCAACTCCCCATCATTTCAAATAAAAACACTAGTGTGATATATTTAGTACCATATTTAACCATCATGTGCAAAGAAACATTTTAATCGAAACACAGTCAGGATCAGTTTTGTGTCGTTACACCAATACATAGAACTAACTTCTAGTATCTCATAGACCTGAAGGTTACACCAACAATCACCAGCTCAGTGGTTCATTTGCTGACCTTTGTTTACTTTTAAACTTTTTAAATCTAAATGACAATCAGCTTATAGTGGCGTCTTTGGAAAAAGTAGAACTAATAGATATTTTGGAAACATCTTTATTCACGTTTTTACCACCGAAGTTAGTGAACGAGTTTGAAAGAATGGGTGTAAATATTTTAACGAATAAATTGGTAGGTCAAAATGTTTACAAATGCTGGTTACATTTTCATATGTAAGCTACAATTCTAAATAACATTCATTTGATTGGATGTAAAGCCTTTACTTTATTTTTCACCTGATCATATGAGCGTACGAGGCACTCAAATTAAGAGAGATAATAAACACAAAATTTCAAAGATTATGATCTATGAAAAAGAAATCTGTCTGTTAGATTTGCCAAATGTTCCACAATCAGATGTTTGCTAACTTGCTAGTTTTGTGTCTTTAAAAGTTTTGTTAAATGAACAGAGTGAACTGTTATTAGTGCAGGTGTGGATCAGGTAGTAGGTCGCCTAGTAGGTCTTCCAGTTGAAAGTGAATTGATCCCCGGCTCCTGCACTCCAGGATTCAAAGTATCCTTGAGCAGTATACTGAACCGTATTACCCCCTGGTCATCTGCTGGAGTGTGGGTGGTTAAAGTAGGTATAGATAAATAGACAATTGAATAGAAAAGTGCTGTATAACTACCAGTCTAGTTTAATTCTTTCTTGTTCACGATTAACCACTTCATAAATTCAAGTCAAAAAATTTACGTCTTAGATGGTCCAACAAAAGTTACTTTTAACCCAGATTAACTTAAAATACAATAAAAACAAAATGTATGAATTTACATTAATGCTAAAAGATAATCTGAGTCAAAATTCCTCTGTAATGTATGCAGTGCAACCGCTCAAATAGCAGTTTAGCAAGGCTGGATTAAATTTAGCATACCTTAAAGATGAAAATGCTGTAAGGGTGCTAGCAAAAAATGCTAAGTTGTGACTGACATATATGCTACCAGAATAAAATGCTTATAAATGTGGTGTATGTGGTGGCTTTGATATAATGCATCACCATTATTGTCACAGTTAGATTTAAATGTGTGATAGTGTCAGTGTGTAAAGGGGAGCTGATTCACTTTTATCCTGCCAATGGACACTTGCTACTTGCTCAAGATAACTGAATCTTTAACAGACATTTTCAACTCTAAAATGCTCTTCCAGTATTTCCCACAAGTACCCCTGAACCATTGGTGCTGCTTACCCCACCACGGTGCCTCACAGCCAATCGCACGCAGCAGGGAGTCCTGCTCACCTGGATTCCGCCTGCCAATCACACAGCACCTATCCAGCATTATGTCATGGAGTTTCGCCTGGGGGAGCGATGGGAGGTCTTGGACGACAGCATTCCTGCAGGGGAGACAGAGTTGGTTGCCCGAGATCTCATCCAGGTAAAAGCCTGAATACAAAATGGAAGTTTAAAACCAGACTTACGTCTTTCCAAGCTAAGAGGTTGCTTGAGACATGGAGGAAGGTTAAAGACCTTAACCTCCTGGGACCTGGCGTGCACATATGGCATCACATTTTGGGTTGTCTTGACCACAGTACTAAATTTTGCTCTTTCAGATGGCTTTCAAAGGAGCCATATTGCTCAAACGGGAACAATTGTTCTTTCTCATTTTGTTTTTGTACCCGGGAAAAATGCTGCTGTCTTCAGACACCAAATAAAGAGTTTTGCACATCATTACTCAATTGTGACTTTATAGTGTTCTATAGAACAAAGAGAATTGCAAAGAGAAATTAAAAATGCATGCCATGAAAGAGTTCGGGTCTTAGGAGGTTAAAGTTTTGTTTTATGGCACAGCAGTTATTCACCAACACCAACAAGAAAGAAATATTCTCCAGCATATCTCAGAGACCTCACAGTACAGCTTGGGATTTTTAGTGTTTCCAAAAGCAAAATGGGATGTAGCCTTGAGATATCAATGAGATATCAATGTAATCTTTTGAGGAAACCAGCTCCTATTTCAATTTCATTGACTAGTAATTTTCATCATAGTTTTGCTGATAAAAACAAGACGATAACTAAATAAAAATAAATGCACAAGGACAAAAATGATGACGAAGGGCACTGACACTTTCATTAACAAATAAAAACAAGATGAAAATATTCTGAAGAGACGAGATCCATCCATCCATCCATCCATCTTCATCCGCTTTATCCGAGGCCGGGTCGCGGGGGCAGCAGCCTAAGCAGAGAGGCCCAGACCTCCCTCTCCCCAGCCACCTCCTCCAGCTTATACGGGGGAACACCAAGGCGTTCCCAGGCCAGCCGAGAGATATAATCTCTCCAGCGTGTCCTGGGTCTGCCCCGGGGCCTCCTCCCGGTGGAACATGCCCGGAACACCTCACCTAGGAGGCGCCCAGGAAGCATCCTTGTCAGATGCCCGAACCACCTCAGCTGGCTCCTTTCGATGTGGAGCAGCAGCGGCTCTACTCTAAACCCCTCCCGGATGGCCGAGCTTCTCACCCTATCTCTAAGGGAGAGGCCAGCCACTCTTCGGAGGAAGCTCATTTCCGCCGCTTGTATTCGCGATCTCGTTCTTTCGGTCACTACCCACAGCTCGTGGCCATAGGTGAGGGTAGGGACGTAGATCGACTGGTAAATTGAGAGCTTCGCTTTTACACTCAGCTCCCTCTTCACCACGACGGACCGGTGGACAAGATCCAATCACAAGTAATTAACTGTGGAGAAAGGTGGAACGAGCTTGCAGGTGATCCAATCAGAAGTAGTCTCCTCGTACAGTAAGGTTTGATCTGCTGCTGAGAAACAGGGCGGGAGAGGACTTTCAGCTGGCTCCCATGCTCCCTGTTTCACATAAAAAACAAACAAAACATTAACGCTTGAGAGGAAGAGAAGAGTAGACATGTGGAGACATTTCACTTTCGATGTTAAGGTAAATAAGATGCTTTGTAAACCATGCGGAGCAACTAGTACCAGCTAATAATATAATATAATAGAATAATAGAATAAAATCTGTATTAGTCTAATATAATCTTATAATCTTATGATCAAACTATGCTAAAAATAAAAGAATTGAAATACCTAAATTATGACTAAATAATTGAATCTCAACAAAAAAAAAATTCTATTATATTTTTTGAGACATTATTTTCTATTTATGTCTGTTATTTAGGTTTCCATTTTGCTTTTGTTTTTCTATGATATTTGAAGCTTTTGTCTAGTCAGAACTAAGATTTTTGTTTATTATTTATACCTATGTTAATTTTTTTAAATACCTTATATCATCATGAAGGAGTAAAAAGGGCCCTTTAAGCTTGACAGAGCTGAGAAACACATTGAATCCGATGAAAAAAAATAACTAATAGAATTTTTTCCCACAATGCCCAGCAACAGGGTGGTGAGACAGTAGCCTTCTCAGACTAGGCTTCACACTTTCCTTTTTGACAAAGCTCATAGTTAGGACTGGATCAAGTAATCCTGAACCATCCCTTAGTTAGGTTGCTATAGGCCTATGTTGCCAGGGTGGCTTCTGAAGATCCCCTGTCGTAGCCAGCTTGGTTGTCATAGTAACAACACAGGTATGCACAGCTGACTTGGCTCGCTATCTGTCTGTGCAAGTTTTACTGTGGGGTAAACATAAATTGTCTTTTTCCTTAGTTCATTTGGCACACACACAAGCACACACACACACACACACACACATGCTTCTACCTATGTGGGTATGTAAGGGTCATGCATGAGCATGAAAATAATAAGAATGGAATACGTTGTGTCATTATAATTTATTAATTTATGCTTTTTAATAGAACACAGTACATTTCCTAGAGACATTATAACAAATGGTATATCACTGTTGATGGATGTTGCTTTTTTCGCAGCATTTCAACTCTTCCGCCTGTCTGCTAATACTCCTGCCACGACACTTTCAAACGTCTTTCTTTAATCTAACCACCACTTCCAGCTCTATGCAGATGCTTTTATCTCTACTTCCATTGCACAGCAAACACCCACACATACTCTTCTCTCCAGCTCTCAGTCTCACAGATGCACACATCACACCTAGCTTGTGTAACTTTTCTGTTGGAAATTCACTGCATTTTTTAGGTCATGGGACCAGAATGGAAGCTCTCTTTGGTTCCTCACATATGTGTATATGTTTTAAAGTGGACATTTGCTGCACCGCAACTAAATCTTCAATCTGTTCTCACAACTGAGCTGACAACTCAGTGCACTGCATATTTATGTGCTAATAACTGGCTTGTAAATAATTAACTAGACGGCTGTTAGAACACTGCAGCTGATCTTGATGAAACTTTGTAAATGGTTAATAAACACTGTGCAGTGCATCTGTGCACATGATTGGATGGACTGGTGTAATGTTGTAGCTGATTTTTACATATACAAGTTATACAAGTTTTTTGTAGCCCAAAATAAATTTAAGTAGCCCGAATAAAAAAGAGAGCAATTTTTTGATTGATGATTTGTTTCCTGTTTTGTTTCTGTTACAATATTATACAAGTATAATATTGTAACGGAAACAAAACATTAATCAAAAAATTGTTGAAACACAAATTACAACATTGTATAAAAATTACAATCATCAACTCAAATACTTGGTTCTAATTGAACAGAAATTTCTATGAACTTGTAAGAACTGTGTAGGACATGAATCAGTCTGGGTCAGATCCTGAATTTGAAATTTCCACTGAAGTCACGGGTAAGAGGCAAGTGGAACCAAGATCGAGGCCATTTGCTTTTTGAAGTTTGCAAAGACTGCTAAATTGTGCCAGTGGTAGTTCACTCTTTGCAACATAGTACGCTGTTCTAAACTGATTTTCAGGTTTATTTTTAGTATGTTATTTGCAATTGGTGTTATTTTTCGGGGAAAGATATTGCAGACTGAGCAATAATGCAATTCTTGCATTTCTCGTGGATTCTAAAATGACTGGTCCCAGTAACAAAGGCGCTTGTCGACTCAGAAATCGAGGGAAAACCAACAACACACCCAGCAGAACATTATGTTATTTACACGGGTGCACATAAGTGGTCCGCGTGTGTGCATTCGCTGTCAAAATAAAAGACGCGCACCAGATAAGAAGTTGCAACGCGCGTTTGCGTCCATACAGGGAGTGCAGAATTATTAGGCAAGTTGTATTTTTGAGGAATAATTTTATTATTGAACAACAACCATGTTCTCAATGAACCCAAAAAACTCATTAATATCAAAGCTGAATGTTTTTGGAAGTAGTTTTTAGTTTGTTTTTAGTTTTAGCTATTTTAGGGGGATATCTGTGTGTGCAGGTGACTATTACTGTGCATAATTATTAGGCAACTTAACAAAAAACAAATATATACCCATTTCAATTATTTATTTTTACCAGTGAAACCAATATAACATCTCCACATTCACAAATATACATTTCTGACATTCAAAAACAAAACAAAAACAAATCAGCGACCAATATAGCCACCTTTCTTTGCAAGGACACTCAAAAGCCTGCCATCCATGGATTCTGTCAGTGTTTTGATCTGTTCACCATCAACATTGCGTGCAGCAGCAACCACAGCCTCCCAGACACTGTTCAGAGAGGTGTACTGTTTTCCCTCCTTGTAAATCTCACATTTGATGATGGACCACAGGTTCTCAATGGGGTTCAGATCAGGTGAACAAGGAGGCCATGTCATTAGTTTTTCTTCTTTTATACCCTTTCTTGCCAGCCATGCTGTGGAGTACTTGGACGCGTGTGATGGAGCATTGTCCTGCATGAAAATCATGTTTTTCTTGAAGGATGCAGACTTCTTCCTGTACCACTGCTTGAAGAAGGTGTCTTCCAGAAACTGGCAGTAGGACTGGGAGTTGAGCTTGACTCCATCCTCAACCCGAAAAGGCCCCACAAGCTCATCTTTGATGATACCAACCCAAACCAGTACTCCACCTCCACCTTGCTGGCGTCTGAGTGGGACTGGAGCTCTCTGCCCTTTACCAATCCAGCCACGGGCCCATCCATCTGGCCCATCAAGACTCACTCTCATTTCATCAGTCCATAAAACCTTAGAAAAACCAGTCTTGAGATATTTCTTGGCCCAGTCTTGACGTTTCAGCTTGTGTGTCTTGTTCAGTGGTGGTCGTCTTTCAGCCTTTCTTACCTTGGCCATGTCTCTGAGTATTGCACACCTTGTGCTTTTGGGCACTCCAGTGATGTTGCAGCTCTGAAATATGGCCAAACTGGTGGCAAGTGGCATCTTGGCAGCTGCACGCTTGACTTTTCTCAGTTCATGGGCAGTTATTTTGCGCCTTGGTTTTTCCACACGCTTCTTGCGACCCTGTTGACCATTTTGAATGAAACGCTTGATTGTTCGATGATCACGCTTCAGAAGCTTTGCAATTTTGAGACTGCTGCATCCCTCTGCAAGATATCTCACTATTTTTGACTTTTCTGAGCCTGTCAAGTCCTTCTTTTGACCCATTTTGCCAAAGGAAAGGACGTTGCCTAATAATTATGCACACCTGATATAGGGTGTTGATGTCATTAGACCACACCCCTTCTCATTACAGAGATGCACATCACCTAATATGCTTAATTGGTAGTAGGCTTTCGAGCCTATACAGCTTGGAGTAAGACAACATGCATGAAGAGGATGATGTGGACAAAATACTCATTTGCCTAATAATTCTGCACTCCCTGTACAAAAGGCAGTGTTTTTGTCCGCTAGAGTGGGATTTTCACATGGGTTTTGCAGCACAGATTCAGCAGACTTTTTCAGTCAGAGAATAAAAGTTTCAGTTATTACAAAATCAAAGGTCTAACCTGCCCAGAAAAGTCACATGGGTCAACGTATGTTTCATAGAAAAGCTGTTTGCCCCCTTTGTGGCTTCCTCTTTCTTTCTTTGACACACTCGTCTTTTCAAAATGTTTTAATTCAGCCACATGAATGGTCTGCTGAGGTCATGCGAAAGCATTTCCAGCATCTCAAAAATCCAGACTTGGACTAGGCCACTCCAACTTCATACCATTGTTTGATATTATAATTTGTTGATATCTGAAACTTATATAGATATATTCATATGTTGTAGCAACACTGAATTCTGACTGGTAGCCTACATTTATTCCACTTACATGGTTAGAGCTTTTATGTTTTCACAATTTTTTTTCTATGTGTTTTACTAATTTCTCTAACATCAACAATTTTGGGAAAATATTGCATGCTGTCTGTAGTCCTGAAACATGAAAAACAATGAGAAATCTGAATCTGATTCAGGTGAGTATTTGATGAATATCATGTACATTTTTGTTGGTGTGAAATATGATGTGAAACTTTATGCCTCTTATATCTAAGGAAGAGCTTTTTAAATCCCTGTGTGACGTCTTGAGAATAGCAAGAGGACAAAAAGAAAGGTTGAAAGAAGGTTTGTTGTAGCATGCATTAGTTACTTCTTCGAGTTGGTGGATATGGTTTCCTAAAACAAATTAAAAGGCATATGTTCTGATAATGCTGATTCAGAAGAAAAAAATCTGTCCCTTTAACTACATTCTTTTCACTCCGATGCCAATTTCTTACAGCAATTATTCTGAGCGCAAAATATAGGTTAAGGAACCACTATTCAGCAGTAGTTCACCAATGCTCCAGTAGCCCATAAAAGACTACAAAGGCTACGTTCACACTGCAGGTGAAAGTGCTTCGACCCATATCCGATCATGGTATGACAGTGTGAACGGCACAAATCCGATATTTTCAAATCCGATCTGGGTCACTTTCGTATGTGGTGCTGAATCTGAAACATATCTGATGTTTTAGAAAGCGACTGCTGTTTGTCGCATTAAATCCGTCTTTTACGTCACTGACACGACAGACGCCAATTATCAGCGCCAGAGAAGCACCAGAGAAGACATCGTGAACGCTTCCTGGCCATCCCGTGTAGATGTCAGTGAAACTGTTGGGAAGATAACGTTGGAGAAACGTGAACATTTTATTTGTACTGTATAATCTGCAGATTCTGACAGAACTCTGCAGCTATCCTTTGAAGCACCGCTCCTCTCTTAAACAGCAATAAGGATCATTATTAGGCCATATGTAAATAACAAAATAACTTTATAACTTCAATCAAAATTGGGAAACGTAAACACTGAAACAAGTCTTTATGGGGCCATCAGTCAAACAATACTAGGTCTAAACAGAGCGGGTTGTGTGTGACGTCTTCTTTTGCGCATGCGGGCCGCTTTGAGGGTTCACACTAGAGCGCGTTTGCTGTCGCATTTTATTTGTAGTGTGAACAACCAGACAAAAAAATCGGATTTGATCAAAAAGTCGGAATTGAGCATCAAGACCTGCAGTGTGAACGTAGCCAAAATCACAGAGGGACCCAGGATGCATGGGAAGCAACTTGGGGTCTCACAGAGAGCAAATATTAATGTTCATGAGTACAGTTTCAGGAGTACTCTGAACAACAGTGATGTGTATGACAAGGAGAAATTAATAAAAAGAACATAGATGCAGTTTACTAAAGATCATGTGAACAAACCAGAAAGTCTTTAGTTTAAAATGACAGACTTTCCTCAGTACATAAGCCTCTCTGCCACAGAATGGTGAAAGATGTGGCAGAAAGGCTCTGCCGGGGGTTTCTTCCTGTTAAAGGAGAGTTTTTCATTCCTACTGTTGCCCACTGTCCATCCTAACAGGCTCAGGGGAGAGGTAGCAATCTGATGCAAGGGGAGGGGAGGAAGACAGGATAAAAGACATGCTGTGGAAGAGAGCCCGAGTTTAATAGTAACTAATGATTAAATGCAAAGTGGTGCATAAACACCTGATTCAGCCCTAACTATATGCTTTGTCAAAACGTAAAGTTTTAAGCCTAACCTTGAAAGTAGAGAAGAGTCCTTGTCTCCCGAATCCAAACTGGGAGCTGGGTGCTGCTATATTTTGGATCAAATGAAAGCTTTGCATGAGGTTTTTAGGACATCCTGATAATAAGGAATTACAATAGTCCAGCTTAGAAGTAATAAAAACAGTAACTAGTTTTTCAGCGTTACTCTGAAACAGGATGTTTCTAATTTTAAAAATATTGTGCAAATGCAATAAGCATTGCAAAGAAGGCAGTCCCACATATTTGTTTAATATGCACACTGAAGAACATATCCTGGTTAAGGAAACAACTCCATAATTTCTCACGTTGTTACTGGAGGCCAAGGTAATGCCATCCACAGTGGTTAGACACCATGTTTCTAAAATGTTTAGGACTGAGTACATTAACCTCAGTTTCAACTGAATTTAGAAGCAGAAAATTAGGGGTCATTCAGTCATTCTTTCTGTCTGGTGTTTGTTATCTGTGAATCTTAAATTGAAAGCACTAACGTATAGAAAAAAGGTGAATGACGCAAGTTTTTTGAGTACAAGTGCTTTGAGTACACAGGCAGAATTAAAAAGTGCTCTATTACAACCAGTTCATTTACCAAAACAAACATTGGCCTGTAATAAGCTAAGATAGCTGGGTCAAGTGATGACGTTTAAAGTAATGATTTAACTACTCCCACCTTAAAGGTCTGTGGTACCTAGACGATTAATAGATATAGACTGATCACATTTAGGATTGAATGAATTGATTAATGGTAGGACTTCTTGGAGCAGTCTTGAAGGGATGAGATCTAATAGACACTCTTCTGATTTGTTGCCTGATACTTTTACATTATAGGCCCTTCTTGTAGTCTCAAGTCTTAATCTTAGTTAATTTTAAATTTGAAAACAGAAAATCTGAATGAATCTGATGAAGTCAACAGAACTACATCATCTGCAAAAAGCAGAGATCCTATTCTGTCTGTAGCTCTGAAAGCGGACAGCCTCCTCACCGAGGCTATCTTGGGATCCTGTCCATGAATCAAGAACAGGATTGGAGACAAGGGGGAACCCTGAAAGATTCCAACACCCAATGAAAATGTGCTTGAATTTGTGACACGGATCCAGACACAGCTCTCACATTGGTTATATAACTTAATGGTCATGAAGTCTGGGTAAATGACTAAAAGTTTGAGTTTGTTCTGTAGCGTGACCAGGCTCAGGCTTAGAGATTTGGGAAAGCAGCTCCGACATCCAGAGGAATCTCGGAGTAGAGCTGCTGCTCCTGTGTGGCAACATAGCCAGCTTTGGATAAGTGGAAGATAATGGATGGATGGATGAATTGAATGGAATGGAATGTCCTGTACAAATGAAGAAACATTAAAGAAGAGTAGGTCAAAATTCCTCTGATGAAATCATACGGAAAGCAATTACTTCAAGTATCCTGCTAAAGGTGGATTTTGTTAAATAAATAATGACAGTATATTGGAGTTTTGTTCATCTGAGTTCTATTTCCAAAGTTTCCAAAGCCTTGGACTGTTGTAGCTTGGTGGTCTTTGGAGATGCCAGTGGAATTTTACAGGTTCAGGCTTACTGAACATTTCTGATAACATAATCTCTTTTTTGTCTCAGGAGGCATGGTATGAGTTCCGCGTCATGGCCATCATGGATGACATGATCAGCGAGCCTAGTAACGTAGTTGGAGTGTCCAGCACAGGTGAGGCATTAGATCATTTAAAATGTTAGAATTTCATTTGTGGCCATGACTAACAGATGAAATGTGAATATGTATATAGAGCTATTATGTGTAAGAACCCTACATTATCCAGTATGTATAGAAGAATAATGAAGCTTAGAGAAGAAGAATGATAGATAAAGCTGCTCAGTGAGTTTCAACCCAACAACTAGCTGCAAACTGCATATTTAACCTCAGGCTAGCCTAACATCTCTGAGCTGAAGAGGGGTGGTAGATGTATTGCACACTCAGCAACACCAACTTTACATTTTACCCACTCAGCACTATTCATTTTAAGCTCGCTTTAACATGGACACTCCTTTGTAGCATCCTGAGGAGGATGACATCATCTTCCTGTCTGCTTCTCCACTGATTGTACTGGGTGGCTTCCTGATTTTAAAAAAAGCCAGCTTTGTTTGGCTGTAAAAAAAAAAAAAGACTGTGTTTTGGGTCTGAAATTAAACTATTCATATATGATGGCACTCCTCTACAGAGGTCACTGAGTACACTCCGTTTAGTAGGAACAGCTGCCGGTAACATTTATAGACCAGATTTTCACTTGTTTTTGGAAGTACTCTGCTTCCCCCCTCTGGTAAAACTGGGAACCACGCTGTACGATGATCAAATGCTTCTGCTCATTTCTCTGTTGATATGGAATTTATTTGACTGTTTTCCTTAAATTTTGTCCAACGTGATGTGGATACACTCTGTCCTTTCAAACATGACAAAGGTGATTTGGATAGCTGAGCAGTGATTCACTGATCGGGTGTTCCTGCATTAATACTTTGTATTTTGCTAATCATACATCATCTGTAGCACATAAACTACTCTCACAAGTTCTTAACAGAAGCTGACCCATTGTACCTCCTGGTTTCACTGAGAGATAACTGAACCAACTCCTTCAACTGAGGACAGTTGTAGAAATTTGTAAATCCACAACCAGACATCATAGCTGCACAGCAGAAACATTGTCCTCTTTGTTGCATTGGCTGGCTTTTAATTATAGTAATGCCATTATTTTAATTACAGTTAAATATTAATTAGTATTATTATAACAGAGTTTTTGCTCACACAAACAAAAGCACAAGCTTCTTAGATGGACTCTATTATACAGCAGGACATATGATTTGTCAGGTAATTCAATTAAAATCTTCCGACAAGCACCAACAACACGAGGAGTGTAGAGCGTTGAGGCCTAGGCCAGCTATCAGCTACAGCTGCCTCTGTCGGCACACGTGTCAATTATAAAGAAAATTAATCTGCTGTACAGTAACTGTGAAGGCGGAACGCTTTATAATGCAGCAAAATGTAAAACGTTAACATAGAGGTCTAATGGATTGACTCATTTTGGTGTCTGGCACTTCAACAGACTCTTACAGGTCTTGTTGGTCTGCTAGGTGGAGCCTCCATATATAAAAGGTGGATATAACTACTTTGGTGTGACCCATTGGTTACCCATCTTGTGCAACTGAATGTCACCAACAAGTGGATCTAACTAAGAAACACTGTTAGAAGAAACCCTGCTTTGTCCTCTTCTTTACTCTAATAGTTCAGAATTTATGAAATGACCAAAAGGAAACTAGCGAGCTTATTTTGCAGCCAGAGGAGTTGCCCCCTGCTGGCCAGTAAAATGAATGTCTGTGTAAGGCACAGTGTGAGAGACAGCAGCAACCAGCTTCTTTACCTGAGAATGTCTCGTGTACTGTAGAGTTTAAATATTTGTAACCATTTCTTCCTTCTTTCCTCTTCAACTTAATTCTGGCAAGTAACATTCTTCAATATTAGTAATAAATATAAACTAGTCTTCTTGTCCACATTTCATGAACTCACTGTCAAACTTTTACTTCCTGCCTGAAGTTTTTATTAACATTTTGTGTTTTTTCAAACTCTGCATTTGATCTTCCTCTGCCCTCTGGCTCTGAACACATGAAACATTTATAAAATTACAGTTTTTGGTTACAAAAAACACACAAGGGATAACAACATATGTGATGGAGTTTCTCATCTACTTCCCACTCAGAGATGATTTAGGGAACTTCGGAAATGTAAGGAGCACTAATGTAAACCAATTACTGATTACTGTGTAAAAGTCAATCACACGTTTCATACTAACAAAATTTATTTATACATTTTTTTGACCCTGTTCAGCAGACACTAAGCTAATTGAATTTCATCAGACACAAGATTTTCTTTTTTGTCTAAGCCAGTCTAACCACATTAGTTAACCACGCAATCAATCAAAACAGTGCATGAATTACATTACCTTCTATGTAGTTCTGAATAGGAGGAAAAGTTAGCATTCTGCTTAGTCATTGTGACATGCACCCTGCAGAAGACATATGCAGCAGTAAAGGTCAGCTTGAATATATTTGAATTTTATTGGACAGGACAGAATGTTTTTGGAGGCTCTTCTACAGGAACACAGAAACGAGTGAACTCTGCAGCTCTAATTTTGCAGATGAAGCTGCCAGAAAACAGCAGAAAGTCCTGGTTTAGTTTTAATCAAAGAGCAGGGACAGTGTGCTCTTTACCAGTAAACTCACATCTGTGTGGTATATCTCATAGTAAATATCAGTCTCTGTTTTGGAGCCACAAATTGAATGCTGAGTATAGCATTAATATAAAGGATGGCCATGTCAAAAGTTCAGTGAGCAAAGAAAAATTGGTATATGTTCCTCTGCTGTGATGTTTCCTCACGGTCTGCATACCTGGAGTATAGGGCTCTGTTTCTGTCATGAATTTGCTGTTCGACTTCATTATGCTTTTGTCTCCCTCTCTCTTCCCCCTCAGATTTCTTTCCTCCTCCAGAGTTGGTGGAGGAGCGTGGACTGGCACGGCCTGTGGTGGCTGGTATTGTGGCCACCATCTGCTTCTTGGCAGCAGCTGTCCTTTTCAGTACCATGGCTGCCTGCTTTGTCAACAAGCAGCGGCGGAGAAAACTCAAGAGGAAAAGAGGTGAGGGGAAACTTGTTATATTTAATATATATATTTAACTTCCCACATTCACTAAGCTAATCCTAAAAACCTGAAACATGTCAGCTGCTTAACTTGTGGAGGTTCTGCAGCAACCATTGTATCATCATGCATAAACATTCTGGATAGTACTTCTTATTCTTTGATTTTATTTTCCCATCTCGCTTGTTTTCTTTCTAGTATTGTTTTATTTCTAATTTCTTCACACTCCTTTTTGCTACATGTTTATGCTCTTAACTAATCAAACATAAACAAAAGTGATTTAAGGAGCTAAGATTTAATGGTGGTGACTATGTTGGTGCATGTTTTATGTATATTAAAACATGTGTTATTTGTTAAAAACTAAAGACAACAACAACATACAATTAAAAATTTTAATAATTATAGATTCTGAAAGTCAGAAAGCATCCATCCATCCATCTTCCGCTTATCCGTGGCCGGGTGGCGGGGGGAGCAGCCTAAGCAGAGAGCACAGGGGGGAGCCCAGACCTCCCCCTCCCCACCCACCACCTCCAGCTTGTCCGGGGAAACACCAAGGCGTTCCCGGGCCAGCTGAGAGATATAATCCCCGCAGCATGTCCTGGGTCTGCCCTGGGGCCTCCTCCTGGTGCGACACCATAAACACCTCACCCAGGAGGCATCCTTGTCAGATGCCCAAACCACCTTTCGATGTGGAGGAGCAGTGGCTCTACTCTGAGCCCCTCCTGGATGGCCAAACTCCCCACCCTGCCTCTAAGGGAGTAGCCCTAACCCTAACCCTTCAGAGAAACCTCATTTCTGCCGCTTGTATGTCATTCTTCCAGTCACTGCCCACAGCTCATGACCATAGTTGAGGGTAGGGATGTATATTGACCAGTAAATTGAGAACTTCGCTTTTATGCTCAGCTCTCACTTCACCTTGATGAACTGGTAAAACTTCCGCAACACTGAAGCCGCAGCACCAATCTGTCTGTCGATCTCCCGCTCCCTTCTCCCGTCACTCGTGAACAAGATCCCAAGATCTTGATCTTAAACTCCTCCACTTGGAGCAACCTGGCATAGACTTTCTCACCCTTCGGTCCCCGTTCTTAAAGATAGGAACCACCGCCCCGGTCTGTCAGTCCAGAGGTAACGCCCCTGATCTCCACGCAACATTGTACAGGCATGTCAACCAAGACAGCCCTATAACATCCAGAGCCTTTAGGAACTCAGGGTGAACCTCCTCCACCCCAGGGGCTCTGCCACCAAGGAGTTGTTTCATTGTCTCAATGACCTCGTCCCCAGAAATAGGTGAGTGTTTCCCCTCCCCAGACTCTGCTTCCTCCATGGAAGACGTACCAGTGGGATTAAGGAGGTCCTTAAAGTATTCCTTCCACTGTCCAACAATGTTCTCAGTCTAAGTCAGCAGCGCTCCACCCGCAATATCATCTTGTTTCTGATCCATTCATCTGAATGTTGCAGCAGAAATTCACTCATGGACCTGATAATGTTTTTCCAATCTTCTATTTTCCAATTTTAGTAAGCCTATTCAAATTGTAGCCTTAGTTTCCTGTTTTTGCTGATAAGGCTGGCACCTGGTGTGGTCTCTGCTGCTATAACCCATCCACTTCAAGGTTTGATACACTGAGTATGCAGAGATGTTCTTCTGCATACCTTGGTTGTAGCAAGCTGGTATTTGAATTACCATCAACTCAAAAGAGTGTTGCTATTCTCCCCTGATCTCTGACATCAATGATACATTTTTGTTCAGAGAACTGCTTCTTACTTGATATTTTCTCTTTTTTGGAATATTCAATTCAATTTTATTTATACAACGCCAAATCACAACAACACTCACTTCAAGGCGCTTTATATGGTAAGGTAGACCTTACAATAATACATACAGAGAAAAACCCAACAATCATACGATCCCCTATGAGCACTTTGGCGACAGTGGGAAGAAAAAATTCCCTTTTAACAGGAAGAAACCTCCGGCAGAACCAGGCTCAGGGAGGGGCGGGGCCATCTACCATGACCGGTTGGGGTGACAGAAGGAAGACAGGATAAAGACATGCTGTGTTTACTCTCTGTAAACCCTAGAAATGGTTCTGTGAGAAAATCCCAGTAGATGGTAGTAGAGGTACCAACAACTATTCCACTTTCAAAGTAACTTAAATCAGCTTTCTTCCCCATTCAGATGCTTGGTTTGAACTTTAGCATTTATCATGTCTACATGCCTAAGTGCAAATCATTTTTGCCAAGTGACTGGCTAATTAGATATTTGCATGAGTGAGCAGATGAACGGGTGTTCCTAAATATAAACATTGCATTTTACAAAAAAACAAGGTTAGAACATCCTTTTAAGTTGTTAAAAGAATAGTTTTTCATTGATTTGAATATATTTATGGAATTACACATTATTTGTTGCTGTACTCGTTTTTCTCTTTTTTTGTGATCTGCTGCTTTATGCTGCCATCATAGCCATCAAAAGCTAAAAGTGATAGATTCTTAGCTGCAGTCAGTCATTATATTTATGTTGATGTTTTTAAGCCTCTGTTGCATTTTACTGCTGTTCTGTCGCTCACGTTCAAATCCTGCTCCAAGCCCTGCAGCAGCCATTCTAATGTTGCCTTTGGTGAGTCTAGTTTTATAAGCCTTTTATGTAAATGTGTTGGGTCAGACACGTTTATCGTGAATGGCAAAACGATATTTTCCACATTATGAATCTTAATATTGAGGCTCGGCTGAAAATAAATAGGAATAAAAACAGCTCATTGGACTACTTCAAATGACCTTGCCTTTATTTGTACAGCTTCTAAGTGAAGTGCTTGTTTTCTCCCTCCCCTACCAGTGTATTTACAGTTTACAGTGTTTTGTTTTTTGTTCCCTATCTTCCAGACCCCCCTCTTTCAATAACTCACTGCAGAAAAAGCCTGGAAACTCCGTAAGTACATCTGTGCCACACAAATATATTGCTGTACTACAAAACAACAACAACAACAAAACCTCACAAAACAAATTGATTTAACAAAGAAAATCAAATAGTAGTACACGTTATATTACTGTTTTAAATACAATGTAATATCTAATAAATTGTAAACTTGTAAATATCGAATAAATTGTGTGGAATAATATTAAGAAGGTTATCCACTATGGTAAATGGACCGTTTCTTACATAGCACTCTTCTACTCTATCTGAACACTTAAAGCGTTTTACACAATTAATTAATTCACCCATTCACACAAGCACTGTTTCTAAGCTGTTAGTGCCTATCTAACATTCATACACAGTCACACTCCGATGGATGCATCGGAGAGCAACATGGGGTTAGTATCAAGTATCCTTGCCCAAGGATATTTGGCATGCAGACTAGGGGGAAGCCAGGAATCAAACCACCAACCTTCCAATCAGTGGATGACCTGCTCTACCGCCTGAGCTACAGCCTCCCTATCAGTGCATCCTGTACTAGCAGTAACATGTGTACTAAAAACTCTGACAGACATGAACATGTACTACAGGTACCTAAATGATAACTTCAAAGCATCACTGTTGACTGTCCATCTTAATTTTGAATATTTGTTTTGTGTGTGTGTGTGTGTGTGTGTGTGTGTGTGTGTGTGTGTGTGTGTGTGTGTGTGTGTGTGTGTGTGTGTGTGTGTGTGTGTGTGTGTGTGTGTGTTCATTACTCCCTCAGAAAGCTGTTTTTTCTACATAAACTTCACTGTATTGACATCTTCTGTTGGTTCTCATATTGCATTGTGAGAATCTTTCCAGCTTTCCAATACTTACTGTAGAGTCATATTAGTTGAGGCAGGAACTCAACTACACCTAATGCTCACTCTAAAAAAGACAGTTTGCCCCTTCATAACACCTGTAAAGGGCATGATTTTTATTTTTTTGTATTTGAACTTTATTAATTTAGGAGCATGATAAGTGGATCCAGACACGCTGTAGTTGCTAACTGTTTGCTAAGCTTCACCCTAGCCACATGGAGTCTCTGAGCTGGACGTCTGGACTATTTGTGCTGTTGGTGGCTTTTGGAGCATTGTTGATCGAATACCTGACAAACAGCATGGCTTGCTCTGTGACACAGCCCATCCATGTTGGCTGTGCTACACTTTAAAAATTCAGTTTAGTCCAAGGCCTCAGACAGGGTGGGGGAGGATATTTACAGACAATCACTGTTAGCTTTTATAGTTTCATGTGAGAATATTAAAGAGTATGAAATCTGATTACACTCTAAAAACAAATGTTTAAGCTCAACAAAAAATGACGCAACAGCTTCCATGGATATTTCTGAGTTATGAAAACTTATGTTGAAATTATGTTGAACCCACAAACTATATTACGTTAAGAGAATGAACTTTTCCTCTATAATCAGAAGTAATTTTAACTACCCCTTACTTAATAATTGGTAGCTTAAAATCTATTTTTTAAGCTGTGTAATCATAAAATGATGTTACACCAACAACTTTTTTCACATTATTTGAAAGTATTGTATGGTGTCATTAGGTTGTTGATTTTCTTCTTCATCATTATTATTTTAGCTTTTTCTTGTTTTTGTAATTTTAACTGCTTTCAAGAAATAAATGAATTCAACATTTAAGGATTTTATTTGTAACTTTCAACGCTTTATATTTAAATACTGAAAATAAATCAGATTATACTTTCACCCTAACTGAATCTTACTGAATCTAGATCATCAGTGGACTTATTGTTTATTTATTTTTATACAGACATGAATGAAAATTAGGATACATTAATAAGAATGAGACAAAATTATGGTATCATAACACAAAACATAATCACACGACATAGACAACATGTTCTATGACCAATTTGGCTGCTTGACCTAAAAAGATTTCTAACAACATATTTTACTTGCTTTACGAGCGGTTCACTGTGTTGGTCTAATTATAATGTTCTAGTTTATGCTGTAAAAAATAGGCAATATGTGCATTCCCTTTATGTTGGGCCACTGATATGGGTGTGACATTTGTAAATCCATTTCATTTTTATTCAAGATGCTGAATTATTTACACCAAACTGCATGAAAAGGTCCTCTTCCTTCTCTCCCGGGTTGAGTCGATGGGTACCTCTCTGCGTACTTTGAGAGTATTGTGCAATTTAAGAAAAAGTAGATAAAGTATCAAAATGATTAATACATTATATAGGTGGCTGCAAACAAACTGCATTCTGAAGTTAGCCAAAGCCTAAATAATTATCATACCTCAAGAAGCAAGATTCTCAGTCCTTTAGCTCCTCCCCTTCATCAAACCCCATCCATTAGTTTTGGGGTACAATGGTCAAGTTTAGCCAAAAGATTAGATTCAAGACTTACAGTGGTTACTCTCTTGAACTCTTTTTTTTAAATCTGTACACCACACATACAGAAAAATGCTATAAGACAATTTGAGGATTATTACAAACAATTGTCAGGCTTTACAAATATTTTCTTTAAAAGGAACCTGTTATTTATAAAGCATTAAATTTAAGTTTGCTTAAAACTGATAATCCACAAAAATCAATTTCATATATATTTTTAAAAAATATTAAATGATGTTTATGTATACACAAAATGCCTATGTAAAGACTTAATGACAAAGAGATTCACATAGTCTGTGCCAGGGTGATACAACCAGAATCATATTAACAATATTTCATAAAACTTGATGTGTTTAAAAAAAGTAATAAGGATAGATGCAGCTCTTAAGACCAAGAACAGTACTTACTGTATTGCTGTATTGCAATAGTAACCAAAACAATTTAAAATGTAACATCATGTATAGCATACAAAAAATAAAATAAATGAGGCAAACAGAAACTCTACAGCTATCCTTCTCACAGAAGTATTCACCGTTAATAATAATAATAATAATAATGATAAACTATTTCCTCAGCTGTATGAGCATAACATCAGAAACAAATCCACTACGGGTCATAACACTTACTAGCACAAATGCATTGCTTTAGTAGAACTGTTATTTGTAAATAAAATGTTACTTACATTAAAATCTCTTTAACATCAGCATACAAGTCCTCCGTGCAACACAGTCTTAATATGTGAATTTGGTAGGGCATGTTAACTGGGTAGGAGATGGACCTTGAAATCAGAGGTTACAGTGAAGAAAAATGAAGTTATCTATCCAATTTCATTAAGAAACTACAAATTGAATTTTGTTTTAAACCCTTTTAATTTCAAATTACATACAAAGTTAAGTTGATATAATTACCAAAATTATTAAGTCAACACACCCCAACAAAATAAAGTTTTCAATTTAGAAGATTTATCTTAATCAATAAATTAGAGAATTTTTCTCTTGCAGCCATGCATTTAAGTGGTGGTAACGGGTCTGATGAATTACTTTTTAGAGTGCAACAAAGAAACTGTAGAAAAACGTCAGTAAACCTCCCATGTACAGAATTTAAAAATCTGCTTACATAAAACAGAGACTTCCTTTCTCTTTGGGAGGGAGAGGTTAGGAGTAATACATTGATCAAGTTGAACATCAGGTAAAAAAGCCAGACTTTAATTGCAGTTTTTCTAAGCTTATTTCCCCAAATACATTTATATACTAGGATCATAGATTTTCCCTTTAACACCATGAGGAGGTCTGTAGGGGAGTTTCTAAAATCTAAATACTATACGTTTTTTGTTTGGCATACATTTTCTTTCATTAAAAAGTGAAAGGCATTTCTATGATGTTTTGGGAGTATGTTTGATTCACTGGCTGGAATGTTTGTCAAGGAATTTTTCAGATTACTTAAGTAACCGCTGACACAGCTGTCATGCTAGTTAATAAAGTCTGATTTTTCCCTGCTCTTGTAAATGGGAGAAATCTGCACCAGATTTGAAGTGAACATCCTGAGTGTAATACAACTGTATTAAAATATCCCAAAAGTATTGTAGAGGACCATGGTCGAATGCATGCTTGCTATACACATGTGGATGCTTGCAAATTACCATACAATAACATGTATAGCCTAATATTTCACCATTTCAAGGCAATAAGATGGTGCAGTGTGGAAAGGTCTCGTTTAATGAAATGTTTTTTGGTTTTTTTTGCTTTGTCCTTTTGTGCTTTTTCAGCCTCTTGTGTCTGAAGTGGGAAATGTAAGGAAATGAAACTATGGCAGGAAACCCTCTTTTTGCTCTCGCATAGTTTTTCTTATCTTTACGCTTTTTCTGTGAAATTTTACGTTGAGTTATTCTCCAACTCATTAATGCTTCTCATCCCTAAGCTGCTGAACAGGAACGAGCTTTTTCTTTCATTTTTTTCTGTTCCTTTTTGGTTGCCCTCTCTCTCATTGCCAGGCTTCCTGTTTACTTCCATATGCTCCTCACTTCTTACTGTCTGATCTCCCCACCTCTGCAGGAGTCCACTTAGCCTCATTCCCAGCATTGAGCCCTACTGGGAGGGGCTGGACGCAAGCAGGTACAGGTCCCAGTGTTATGGTCCTCAGTGAGTGTGCAAACCATTGTCCCTTTGTTCTTGCACACTATATACCCTCCTTCACGTTGGTTCAGCACCTCAGACTCTTGACCCGTCTGCATGCTTCTGGACAACTACAATCAGGCAACAACAATACTGGTCGTAGTCTTTCGTTCATGAGCGGTAAAGGAGCTTCATTTGAATCTCTGGGGGAAAATGAGAATATATTATTCAGGATAGAAGAAGTAGATAATGGGACTCTTTTTCATGTGTCACAGTGAATGAATCACAATTATCTTTCATTATATTGCTCTATATTACTGCTATACTCATATTACTGTCCTTTATTTTTTTAGATTTATTGCAGTTACTGAGGGAGTTTGTAGTTTTTTGGAGAGAACAGCTAACCTTTTCCTTCTGCCTCCAGTCTTCTTGCTAAGTTAGGCTCACTCCTTGGCCAGAGTATACTTGCAGAGTAATTGCAATCTTCTTATTTAATGAAGGCCAGCGCTTAGACCCTGTTATAGAAGTACAATACATACATGTAATGACCACTCATTATTAAAATGGTGATTCATTCAGTGAAAAATTTAGTCCAAGGCAACTGATCTTTTAAAATTCTTTATATTGGGAACTTGATATTCCTGATGTTTTAAATGTAAGACATATACAGTCTCGATCAAAAGTTTAAGACCAATTGAAAAATGGCAAAAAATCATATTTTGCATGTCTGGCTCTTAACAAGTTTCCAAGTAGAGCTTCAGCATGCAACAAGAAGAAATGGGATTGAGACGAAACATTTTTTGAGCATGTAATCTATAGAAAACTACGCTTAAACTGAAACAGGTTGTTTTGCAGCTGATCACCTCCAAAAGAACCCCCGTAATCCCCCCAAAACAGAAATCAAAGTTCCAAGCATAAACCCAGTAATGAGTAGCTCCACCGTTATTGTTGATCACTTCAAAAATGTGTTGCAGCATGCTTGATGCAAGTGAGTGGGAACATTTCTCCAAGTGGTGAAGACAGCCACACGAAGGGTATCTACTGTCTTCCACTGAAGGAAAAAGCACCCCAGACCATTGTAGTGCCCCCTCCACTGTGGCGCGTAGAAAACATCTCAGGTGACATCTGGTTGTCATGCCAGTAACAATGGAAACCATCAGGACCATCAAGGTTAAATTTGTTCTCATCAGAGAATAAAACTTTCTTCCACCTTTCAGTGTCTCGTGTTTGGTGCTCTCTTGCGAAGTCCAAGCAGTCAGTTCTGTGGTGTTCAAGTATAACGCTACAGAACTTTGGAGCCTTTGAAGACGTTTTTTTGTTTTTGAACCCCTTCAGTCTCAGACGCAGTCTGATGGTTATGGGGCTGCAGTCGGCACCAGTAACTGCCTTAATTTGGGTTGAGGATCGTCCAGAGTCTTGATGAATAGCCAGCTGGATCCTCCTGGTCAGTGTTGGTGAATTTCTTTTGTGTCTTCCACTTGACCCTCAGGATCATTTAAGAAATTCCAAATGATTGTCTTACTGCGTCCCACCTCAGCAGCGATGGCGCGCTGTGAGAGACCCTGCTTATGCAGTTTAACAACCCGACCATATTCAGTTTTTTTGCCTTTGCCATCAGAATGTCATGACAGTGTGACTACCTGACAGAAAATGACAATGAATCCAGATTTTTGCACAGATTTGGCCTTTTAAAGGCATGTGGTCCTAAACTTTTGATCTGCTGGAGAACAGCCTGTTTCAGTTTAAGAGTTGTTTTCAATAAATTGCCTGCTCAAAAAACTGTTTTGTCTCACTCCCATTTCTCCTTGTTGCATGTTGAAGCTCCACTTGGAACCTTTTTTTCAAGTGGTCTTAAACTTCTGATCGGGACTCTATGTTGCTCAATTATGTGAATTGTATGTCCAAGTCTTGTAGGCCTTCTTTAATGACAAAATAAACCATTTTTGAAAAATTAAGTGCAGTGGCTGGTAATAAGGAGGTACACCTCTGCTGAAGTGTTTCAGGAAAATAAGATGCACTAAGCATTGTCCTGGGGCAACAACAGCTTCTTGCAACCTTCAGAAAATCTCAGTCTAGATGTGGATGAACTATTTTAAATGTTTGTTTTCAAACTCACTGCAAGTAAAACAGAAATTAGCCCTGGCTCTATCCAAACCACTTTATATGTTAAAATAGACAGACACAGACTTTTGGAAACTTTGACACAGGCACCCATGTTTTCTTCTTGATTGTGTCTTTTAGTAACTCGTTTGATTTCCTTAACTTGTCCTGCCATTGACTCTTCTAAGAAGTAACCTTCTGCTTAACACCAGCTCATGGCTTTCTACAATTTGCAAATGGTCATGTAATTTCACTCACTTTTTTTGCCTTGTGACTGTGGACGGGCTATATTTCTAAAGCTCTGTTAAACTAATGTGAAAATGTATTGATGAAGACAGGTCTCATCGCCTGCATATCCATAAGCTGTGGAGTTGTGAAGCTGTGGATAATGATCTATTTAGGAGATTCATCCATTACTTCTAACTGCTGAGTTTCCAGAAGCCTAAACAAACCAGTTTGTACTATAAGGATAAATATGTCAGTAACTAATATGTTCAATTCGATTTAATTCAGTTCAGTTTAATTTACAATATATAGTGCCAAATCAAACAACAGTTGCCTCAAGATGCTTTATATTGTAAAGTAAAGACCCGACAATAATACAAAGAAAACAGAGAAACCCCCAACAATCATATGATGCTCTTTGAGCAAGCACTTTGGCAACAGTAGGAAGGAAAATCTTTTAACAGGAAGAAACCTCCGGCAGAAACAAGCTCGGAGAGGCAGCCACGACTGGTTGGGGTGAAGGGAGAAAGACGAGTTAAAGATGGGAGAGAGCCAGAGCCTGAAAGCTTAAGGCTCTACTTCATATTCTACTTTCAAATACGCTAGGAACAACAACTAAGGCTGTACTCTGAGAATGAAGTGCTCTAATGGGTTGAAACAATACTAAAAGGTCATTAAGATGCGCCTGATTATTCAAAACCTTGTATATAATGAGAAGGATTTAAATTCAATTCTGGATTTAGCAGGAAGCCAATATAGGATAAGTATGCTGTCTCTTTCTAGTCCCTAATAAGTATCTTCTCTCTTGCAAGAGAGGCAGGGAGCTTATATTCAAACCACAGTGTATACAAACCTGCCATAATCATATAAGGAACTGCAGCAGCATTACACCTATGTAGGTCTGATAACAGATTTATGAATGTTATCAGCAATATTTGTTACCATAACAACAACTAACTTCTACTAAATTTTATATAGTTTTCAACAAATATTGCTTGCAAGAAATAATACCTAACAAAGATCCTGGTTCATCAGAGACACCATCTTTCACATAGTTTAGAAATACAATGTTGTTGTCTACACAAATTTCTGATTAGGTGTTATTGTAATGATAAACAAATTGTTGTTACATTTAATGAGAAGTCCTCATGACTTCAAATAGCAGATGGTATTTTTCAGTGAAGGTAGCTACTGAAACCTGGTACCTTTAACATGTATTGCATGTGACATTGCCTACTATACTGTTTATTTAGGTTATAACAAACAGATCTGCTATAAATGACTTTTATCACTAAATAAAGGGATTGTGGTTTCAAAGAAATTGTGGTTTCATTTCCTTTTTCCTATAGCGCTCTAGTACTAATTTCTAACAAGAATTTGGCTAGAAAGACTTTGATAACATCAAAGTGTCTTGTTATATACAAGCACAAGTTATATACTGTAACTCGTAATCTTTTAAAAATTTTGAATTTGGTCAAGACCTCTCAGATATCATATAGAAGGATAGATACCAAAATTGTTCAAACACTTGCAAAATTGGCACAAAATAGTATGTATCCCAACTAGTGGGATACCCTTCACTGGGTATGGTGATTGAATTATCCTTTCAGTTAGTTTTGACAAATGTGGCTAATCATTCACTCCACGCTCTGATATTCTTAATTTTCTATATATGTCATCAATCAAAGTCTCTCCTTTCTCATAAATCAGTCATAGCTCTACCATACTAGAGCTTTAACAGTGTTGGTCAGTACAGCCACTTCATACTTGTTACTACAGTGTTGCTCAAAATTTATTACTAACCGATAACCATTGGGTTTTACAAACAGCTCTCTGTTTCTAATATCAGGTGAAATTATTTATTTATTATTTATTTATTTAGTTTTGGGGTATCATGTTTCTTTGGTTTTTTTGTGCTCCTGACAGTGCTTTGTAATGGGAAAATGTGACGTCATACTGCAATGGAATTCAACTTTTGAATGAATGAAATTTTCATTGGTAGTAAAATTGTACCGTACACGTACTGGTTTGCCTTTAACTTTAGGAAATGATAATGATGAAGTAGAGCTAAAGTATCAGGTGTAAAGTGGGGGATGATATAGAGGGAATGAAAGAAGGTAAAATGCAGTAATATGGCATATGATATAAGCATTCTGCAACTAAGGCATCCCATTATAAGACTAAATGTTAAACCGCTTTTAAAACCAATAACATAAACAGTTATAAATCTAACAAATTACAGATAACTACTAGTAGTTCTTGGGTCCGGTACACAGTCTTTTACTGCAATGGTTAAAACTGGTCTATGCACATGCCTTCAGGGAAGACATATTGAGTGTTCGTGTGGGTACCAATAAACCAGTTTGTTGTTGTCAGAATTATGCATGAATTTAATGATTTTGTGTATTGTACAGTTTAGTTGATATCCCCTTCTTGTGTGCACTTTAATTACTGCTTTGGAAACAAACATTTGTCTTATGTCATCAAACCTCTACATCTACACTCCATTCACTTTTACTTTTGAAAAAAAAGTCACGATGTGTCCAGTATTGTCAAGATGTTTTTTCACTTACCAAATTCATATGAAACTTGATGGAGAAGTGGAACGCTGACAAAGGAAGAAACTGTTACATTTTGGTTTGACTTACTTTAAAATTGTGGGATAAAGCTTTAGTCTCATCGGAGGAGTGCCTTCTCTGAGTTTGAAAGTTTGCGTATTTGTTGTTCTAGTTTAACTGCCTAAAAATAAACAGGAAATGTATCTTGCTGAATTTCTGTTTGCTAATGATTCATGATCACTGCTTTGACTTAGAACTTGGAATCCTGTAAATGGGGTCTAGTTTTTCTTTCTTTAATCCATGTTTTGTTCTGGTGTAGTTGGATTCATCTCCAGCACCATCAGTAAACTGTTATTTTGTAAAGAAGTACCATTTTAAATGATCACTTCATCTGTATTGTTTTCCACAGGTCATCTTCAGGAAAGGTGAGCCCAGAGAGCGTTCGTTCAAAGGCATCTCCATCAGAATCATCTGAAGATAGTCATGACCAGCGTGGAAAAAAACCACCCCCAAGTCCAGGGAAGAAGGAGGAATTATCTCTATACAAAAAGACCAAAAGAGCAATAACAAGCAAGAAATACAGCATCCCCAAGCATGAAGCTGAAGCAACAACACCCATTGAACTCATCAGTCGAGGCCCAGATGGACGTTTTGTTATAGATCCTACAGACAGAGAAATGTCTGTCAAACCCCGGCGAATTGAGGGCTTCCCATTTGTGGAAGAATCAGACCTATATCCTGAATTCCGACAGTCAGATGAAGAGAATGATGACGCTAGGGCTCTTCCACCAGTTATGCCCCCCTTGCGGCCTCACCAGATCTCCCCTATCTCCAGTCAGGAATCCTACCTGCAACCTCCAGCCTACAGCTCTCATTTCCACAGGCCCTTCGAAGGTATGACCATCATGGAGAGCAGTCGGCTCCAGGCCACTGGGCAGATCCGAGGCTCTCTCCACCACAGGGCTTTTTATGGCTATCTAGGTCCTCCTGGAGATCATGATCCTCCACCTCCTTTTTACATGCCAGATACCAGCCCACTTAGCTCTGTCATGTCCTCCCCTCCATACCTTGCTGAGGGTCCTTTTGGCCACGCTATGATTCCTGAAGAAATGGGAGAAAGTGATTTTCCGCAATATGCTGTCTCTGGTTTTCCACTTCCACTGACCCTCACCTCTTCCATTCGTTCTCCAGAGATTTGGCAGGGATTGGATTTTACCTTTGCAAGTTTGGAGGGACCCCAGTTCATTTTTCCACCACATCAACCTTTGCATCTCCGCCACGATTCTCCCTATCCCCCTCCACCTCATGTTCTTCCCCTTAGTGCTATCCAGACCTCCTCTCTTCCAATGCCCACTTATCCAGCTGTCCTGCCACTGGAGGCCCCAAAGAGCCACTCAAGCAAGTCTCCCAGCAAGGCCAGGCCTCATGGCTCCCCAGCCAAGCATTTAGCTATGCAAGAGGCACATTTAGGGCAGCTAAGACACACAAGCCATGGAATGGGTGTGCCGGTTTTGCCTTACACCGATCCAATGGCCCATATTGTTCCTAGCACATTCAGTAGCTTGGACACACGATGGTTTGAAACCACTCCTCATTTCAGTCCCAGACATGCTCGTAGGATGGATCCTGGCATGCATCAGGTGGTTCTTCAGCCCTCTCGCCTCTCACCCCTCACCCAAAGCCCCCTTAGCTCTCATGAGGGCTCCCCAGAGATAGTAGTTCGTCCCAGGCCACGTCCCGGCATTGTCCAACCTACTATACCTTCAGAGATGTCTGAGATTACCCTCCTCCCTCCTTCCACAGCCAGCTTCTCAAGAAGATCTTCTCCCTCCTCCTCACCTGCTCAAGCCCAGGGTAGCAGGAGAACAAGCCCCAGCTACCATTCCCACATGGCCTTTGCCACCTCTGCAACCAGCTACCCAGCTTCCCAGTCTCCATCACCCCCCATGGAAAGCAGCAACATATTTGGGCAGATGCCATCTCAAAGGAGGACTGAGGAGGAGATCCTTCCATCGGAGCCTTCTCCACCCCAGTTGTCAGCTTCAGGGTAGGTCCATAAGGATTACAGAGCGGGATACCATTTGAGTCATCTGCCCCAACCCATAATGCTTTGGTGTGTGAAGTTGCTCTGATATTTTTGTTTCTGAAGTGCTATGTACTAATCATTATTTCCTAAAGTCATCTCTGTGGCAAATTAATTTTATAGTTTAGCTTATGCTTTTTTCATTTGACTTAATGAAAATGAAAGTTGTAAGGTGGAAGGAAACCATTTTGTTCGGATTTTTTTTTTTGATTTCCTTTTTTTAAGTTTAGCTTCAATTTGGTCAGTGCTGCTTTTCATGTCAGGCATAAACTTACTCACCCACTGAATCTCTGAAGCACTGTTTCAAAATATTCACCTGGAAATGTACATCGTAAATTTTCATGTGAAAATGCTAAAAGTAAGTAAGTAAATGGTGAATTGACAAGAAAATGCATTTGCTTCACAGATTGCATTTCAGACCTTTAAGGGCTACAATCCATCTGGTTAAAAAAAAAATTAAAAACCATGGCCAGTCAAATGCTTTTTTTTTGGGGGGGGGGGGGGGGGGCAGGCCCCTGAAAGCCTGGTAATATGCAGACATCACCACGGGATCCCTGTTTTTCCATCTGTATTATGTTACCCTGCTTTCACCTAACAGGAGGACTCTCATAATATCCACCAAGTCAGTTCCCCAGAGAAAACACCCATTGTTATGTCCAGCTCCAAGCCTTGAAGATGCCTTTATCATGCAGAGGGATGAGTTCATCGTGGCAGGCCCTGCGGCCCATCCTCAGCCTTAGTAACTTGATTGCATGACCAATTCTCCCTTGCTGTCCAATCTTTCAGATTTTTTTTCCTACTCTACTTTCCTCCCCGATTCTATAACCCACGCCTCCCCAACTCCCTTAAACGCCTTCAGGTCATCCAGGTCTGACTACCAAGGGAAGGTTGTTGGGCAAAGTGTGTCACAGGGCCTGTCCGCTTCTCATGTACTGCAATGTCTCCATCATTATCAAGTAGGGGCAGTGTGGTGGTTCTTGATGGCTCCTGGAGTCTTACCTGCTTTGTTTTTGATTGATCTCAGCTATCTGGGCAGCGTTGTTGTGACCAGGTCCTCTACACCGCAATAGGTAAGGGTTGGATCCATGTCTGAAAGGGGGGGGTTAGCAGGTGGGACTTTTTTGATCACCTCGTCCTTTAAAGGGGAATACAAGCCTTTGAGTCTTTGAGTTGTTCCTTACTTCAGTCAACACATGTAGCTGATTTCAGTTCTTTCTTTTTTTCCCTTTATGTCAAAGTGGCTATGCATTTTAAGTTCTGCAGTCTTAAGTACATTATGCATTCTGACTGATATGCATATGCCATCTGTAAGATAATAGATCAGGTCAGAAATGTCTCACCAACATGTTTTCATGCTTGAGTTGTTTGCTAACTGACCACAATCACAAAAACGTTAACCCTGTTAATCTGTTAAGGATACCAAATCACAGATGGATATATCCTTAGTGTATATATCTCATGAAAACATTTAAAAGTTTTTATTTACGTCACTACATATAACCTTAACCAAATTACTTCAGCAAAGATCAGCTGGCACTTATACAATGCTTGATGGTCCAAGTACATTTCACTTATCCTTTCTGTTTTTTTGACACACACACACACACACACACACACACACACACACACACACACACACACACACACACACACATACTTTTGAAAAGCACACTCCAGCAGTAGTAATAGTTAATGTTTTTAGGCCTTTTGTACCTGAGTTGAGACAGGTCTTGCAGCCCGGGACACAGTACCATGTCGTATGCTCGAGTCCAGCTGAACTGCACGCAGCTCATGTTTTTCGGGCATGGTATGCAAAAGTCACATGAGTAAAATACACTGAACTAAGTGCATTAAAGGGGTTAAGTTCGCTTGGCTAAGTAATGGGTCAGCATCTATGAGTATGCCTTTAACCCTCATTAATGGTCACCATATTGGTTGTTGTGTGTGCAACAACTCTGATGTTTTCATAGCCCTATAGCCATTTATTTTGACATGATGCAGTCTTCCCCTGAACAATAGGTCAGCACCTCAAGAAACCCTCTACACCAGTAGTAGTATAATACTAGAAAAAGTCAAGAATCAAGCAAAGCGAAGAATTTTATTCAAAAAGTTCTCCAGAACATCTGTTCCATCTATTACAGCTTCTCCCTCTCTGTAATGTGGGAATCTTGTTCTGTTGTATCACTGAAATATACCGCTAAAGACTAAACCACTTGTCCACTTGTGTGGGGACTGCTCTTCCTCATGCCGCTGAACTCTTATTCAAGATAATTTATCTGGATTTCAGAAGTGGGGCCAAACGTCCATACATGTCCCTTCCGGTTCTCTACAAGCTGTTTGTTCTCGTTTTTGCGCCCCACCCTCACCCCCTCCCTTTTACAATGATTTAACTACTCATTAGTACATGGGGATCTGCCTGGCCCGGGAGCTGCTGCCAGTTCTCTCTGAGGCCTTCCCAAGCCACAGCCCCAATTCATGATCACATCATCTGCCATTATCTACTAGAAATGCTGTCAAACTTATGAGGATGTGGTCCCAGCCAGTGAATCAAGCTTTGTTATTAGAAATACATTTATGGGTAGCTTTTGGTAAAGATTGAACTGGGCTACAGTGGTCCCTTATTTATCGCAGGAGTTACGTTCTAAAAATAACCCGCGATAGGTGAAATCTGCAAGTAGCCAACTTTATTTTTTAAAGTTATTACAGATGTTTTAAGGCTGTAAAACCCCTCACTACACACTTTGTACACTTTTCTCTCTTGTTTAAACACCCTCAAAGTTCAAACCTTCGTAGAAAAATAATTCCAGTATTATAGAATGAAACCAAAGATCAAACCCTGTTTTCAGGTCCAGAACATGGGAATAGAGCAGCTGCCAGAGAATTCAACATGAATTCAATGAATCAATGGTACAGAAGTAGAGGAAGCAAGAAGAATGAGTTGTTTGACTTATCTGACTGTTTTGTTTTGTTTAATGCGCCTCAACGGGCGATCGTGGCTCAAGAGTTGGGAGTTCACCTTGTAATCGGAAGGTTGCCGGTTCGACCCCAGCTTGGACAGTCTCGGTCGTTGTGTCCTTGGGCAAGACACTTCACCCGTTGCCTACTGGTGGTGGTCAGAGGGCCCGGTGGCGCCAGTGTCCGGCAGCCTCGCCTCTGTCAGTGTGCCCCAGGGTGGCCGTGGCTACAATGTAGCTTGCCATCACCAGTGTGTGAATGGGTGGATGACTGGTTGTGTAAAGCGCTTTGGGGTCCTTAGGGATTAGTAAAGCGCTATACAAATACAGGCCATTTACCATAATTCGGTGTGCTTTATGGTCCAAAAAATACGGTAACTTCTACCTTTCTTTAGCATGTCCAGAAGTCCAACTTTTTGTGCAATGGTTAGCATCGTCCTCTGCCTTTTACGTGCTACTGCAGGTGCCTTTGACGGTGCAAAACGTTTCGTCGACATTGTTGTGTTTGTTGGGGAGAAAACGTACAAACATACAGTACAGCACTTCAGAGTCACACTGCTAGCAATCGAAGATTTATGTAAATTTGACAAGTTAAACACATTACACAAGGAGACAGGAGACACGGCACGGAGGAGATTGATTGACACTGGTCTACAACTGATCAGGACATGGAACACAATGCGCTGTAAAAAAAAAAAAAAAAAAAAAAAAAAAGCATGCAAAATTGCACACACACACAAAACAAATCCACGAAACAGCGAGGCCGCAAAAAGTGAACCGCGTTATAGCGAGGGACCACTGTATACTCAAACTGAACACTTAGAATGTTCAAAACACAACATTTAGTTTATAATAAATCACAATGTCTGCAATACTGAAGAAGAAAGATATCCAAACATACAAAGATCAGTAACTTCCACACATGTGTGTAGTTATTCAATGTCATGTGGTCATTCCAAGTGGACTTTTGTATTGGGATACCACACATTATTGTGTATGACAATGTAATCTCCTATCATATCACTTAGTGATTCCAACTAGTACATATTCTTGTCAAAAGACTTAAAAATTCAGTGATTGCTTTTGCTGAAACAAAACTAATTTTTCTATACTGTGGCAGATGAGTACAAACGTGTTACGAAACTGTTCAGTTGCATGTACAGCAAGTAGTTCAGAGGTTGGCCAGGATCCATGAATTATCCATAGCCATTCACCACAGCCACAGTCATTTGAATGACTTTTTTATTAGCTGGTAGAGGAACCCAAACAGTGTGTTGATTCAATTTAGATTAAAATAGTATCAACAATGTAAAATTCCATTGGCACATAATATTGATGAATTCCCACAGCTAAGAATTCAATTTTCAGATCACAGAAACAGCTCCCTCCTGCAACATGACAAGTGCAGGCCTAACTAATGCAGTCCCTCCACATTTCTTCTTACTACTCAGATAGATGTTGCTGTCCTGCCAACAGACCTGAAGGCAGGCAAGGGGATCTGGCAAGGTTTGACTAAACGTAACTTCATTAAGTGCTTCAGACTACTCTCAGTGTGCTTCGTTTGAGTCTTAAGCAGTTAACCAAGCTTGTTTATATTATTTTCCAAATACCTCACATTCCTGGTTATTTTCTGAATTGTTATAGTTTCCTTGCTCCGGGTAGTAGAACCGTCAGCAGGATTGCCTTGCAAAGATTCTGCCTTGCAAAGATCATATGCCAAAAAAAAACAAAACATATAAAACAAAAAGGAGCTTTTTCACCTTCATATAAATCACAGTGAGCAAGAATAATACATTTATCAGCAAGTTTAAAACAAAACAAAGCAAGAGCTGCAGCAGCAGGAAGAAATCTGAATCCATACTCAATCCATGATCCAGTAGTTCATGTAGTTAGCACTCATCAGCAAATAATGGCGATATCAGAATTCATTTCAAGATGTCCAGAACAAGACCTGCTTATTTTGCTTTACTCACCTTACGGTGCCCGATCCAATTATTTTTGTGCATTTTG